TGTTCATTTCATAACCATCTTGAAACCAGGAGCAGATTTAGCGTAAGGGAGACATTTAAGCAGGATTTGAAGGTCGAAGGAGCTTGAAATTCCAGCTAGTCTTAGCCAAAAAGACCATTTGGTCTTGGCTTTAACGTCACACAGAATTGTGGAAAGTTCTTACATTTGATTTAATTTGCAAGCCCTTTTTTTTGTAGTTCCCTTACAAATGAAGGCTTAATTTTTTTCTTTTTTTTTGCATAATTCTGCGCATTCCCAAACTTTTAAGAAAAAGCAATCTTACAAAATTCATCCCCAAAATGCAGTCACTGCCCTTTACAATATATTAAGTGAAGCACTTTGAGATATCTCAACAACATAATGCGCAACAATCAAATGCAACAATTATTACAAACTATTCAGTCTGTGTTGCTGAGAAAACCACAAGCTTTTCAGCTATGTCTCGATACGATACTGAAAATCCAGCAAAGGATCAATTCAACAAAGACACAGAATCAGTGTAAATTGCCCCCAATTCATCACGAAATGAACTGAAATAGTCATAATTCCACACAGTGGAAAAGCCACAAACATCCAAACAAAACCAAAATCAGTAGAAAGCCTTGTTCGTGTCTTTTGGTGCCAAAGTCACTTATCCCACTTGAGCGGGTGGGGCGAAACCTTAGGTAAGTTTCCTTACTCCACATGCCTCTGTCTACCTAACAGTAAGTAGGATCCCGGTTGTTGGTCAATTTGTGAATCGCTTTCCGGAGGCAATAAACCCTTAAGAAAAAAATGTGGTCACTCAATCCACAACTGATTGTGGGACACGGCAGTATACAATTGACTGCTGTGTTTCGCCCACAAAATACAGTCAATTCTCACTTTACAGTATATTCTGTGAAGCGCTTTGAGACGTCTCAATGACCCAATAAGACGCTAGATCAAATGCAAGGATGATTATTATATCAATGATCGATGAGATATCCCTGCTGCACATTTAGCTGCCACATTGGCTATGCAACTGTGTTTCACAATAATTTGCCATTTGAAGCCCTTTTGAACGTATCAATGTGATAAGACGCTGTGTCAAATGCAAATATTGTTTAATTAACAGATCCCAGCACAGACATTCATTCCACTTATTGCTTTTAATTTCTAAGGCAGCTTTGATGTAAACGTCACGGTTTTAAATTGAAACGCTGCTCGTAATGATCAAAGAGTTTTGCGGCTATCTCGCCTGTCGGGGATGTGTTACTTGGAACTGGAACAAGGACAGGTGTGCTTGTGTCGCGGCCTAGTGGTGAGACTCAGTTTTACAGACAATAATAAATAATAATGCTCGCATTTGATGCAGCACCTTACCACGTCATTGAGATGTCTCAACGCACTTCACAGAATATACTGTAAAGTGTGTTTTGGGGGTGAAACTATCTTTTCATATGTGATTTCCCACACAGTTTTGGTACATACAAAGCATTTCACGTCGGGAGGACATCCCAAAGCTCTTCACAGCAGATAAAGTGCAGGAACCTTGTGGGCGAATGCGGAAGCCAATTTGCACCCAGTAACGTCCTCACACACCAAAGGCATGAAATTCCAGCTAGTCTTAGCCTGCACGACCACTAAGATCGCTCAGAATTGTGAATTCTCAAATCGTATTTTAGGAACCAATTTCTTTTTAATAATAATAATAATAATAATCCTTGCATTTGATATAGCGCTTTTCACGTCGGGAGGAGGTCCCAAAGCGCTTCACAGAACACACTGTAAAGTGAATTGACTGTATATTTGTGGAGCCAACGCGGCCGCCAATTGCGCACAGCAATGTCCCACAAGCAGTCGTAGATTGAAAATGACCAATTTATTATAGTTTTTGGTTTTGGAGGGATTATTATTAGGCTCTGTGTGGTGTAAGGAAACTTGCCCAAGGTTTCGCCCTCTGCCTGGAATTGAACTCCGGTCTCTCACTTGCAAAGCGAGTGCTCTAACCACTGAGCTACAGGAGTGTGGGGGGAAAAAATAGCTTCCAAATTATATTTAAATTTGAAAATTTTTACACAAATTCTGAGCCATCTTAAATTTCAATTGCAATGATTCAGTATAATTAATGTATCCACATCAAAACAGGTAAAAGCGCTCCACCGAGTGAGTTACTTTGAAGTGTAGTGACTGTTCTGTAATCAAACATGTTGGCTAATGGGTGGTATTCCAGGCCAAGAGACCTTCCTTAGTTTTTGGTCCTTTTTGAGAATATCTACAAAAATTAGCACAATAAGTCTGTTCAAGATTGGGCGGAGTAGTTAATACAGAGGACGACTGCAACAAATTACAGCAAGACATCAATAAACTTGCTGAGTGGGCACTTAAATGGCAAATGCATTTCAATGTAGAAAAGTATGAGGTGGTACATTTTGGTAGAAGGAATAAGGAAGTCACAAACATCCTGGAAAATAAAACCTAAATGGGTTAAAGGAGCAAATGGATCTAGGGGTACACATACACAATTCACTAAAAGTAGCAACCCAGGTTAATAAGGCCATAAAAAAGCAAACCAGGCATTGGGGTTCATTTCTAGAGGGATAGAAATGAAAAGCAGGGAAGTTATGGTAAACTTCTGTAGAACCTTAGTTAGACCACACTTACAATACTGTGTGCACATTATAGAAGGGATGTAGAGGCACTGGAGAGGGTGCAAAGGAGATTCACAAGGATGATCCCAGAACTGAGAGGTTATACCTATCAGGAAAGGCTGAACATACTTGGACTCTTTTCTCTTGATAGAGGTCTTTAAAATGATGAAAGGTGTTGATAGGGTAGACATAGGGAAGATGTTTCCACTTGTGGGGGAGACCAAAACCAGGGGCCATCAATATAAAATAGTCACAAATAGATCAAATAGGGAAGTTAGAAGAAATTTCTTCACACAGAGAGTAGTGGAAATGTGGAACATACCACCACAAGGAGTTGTTGAGGCAAATAGCATAGATGTATTTAAGGGAAAGCTAAAAAGGTACATGAGGGAGAAAGGAATAAAAGGTTATGCTTGAAGGCTTAGTTGAGGAAGGGCAGGAGGCTCATGTGGAGCATAAACATCGGCATAGACTAGTTGGGCCGAATGGCCTGTTTCTGTGCTGTATATTCTAATGTATTCTAATGTAATATTCCCCACAAATAATTTCCCTCGACCCTCCAGAGGATAATAAAGTCAACTCCCATTTCATGTCTGGGTAGTTCATTTCATACTTCACGTGTGCGATGCAGAAAGTGACGTCCTCCTGATGTGAAAGGCGCTATACAAATGTAATTTTGTATTGTATTTGGTATTTAGCCGCACTGTTAGCGATTCATTCCACAAGAATGAAGAAGGTCCTTCAATCCATTTGATCTCACAGCATCGAGCTGCTAATCCCCAAAGTAGATACTGTGTCTGAATCCGCTGACAAGTGGTGAATCCCAACCACTATAATAGTCAAACTGAACCGACAGACACTTTAAAGACGAGTCTCAATTCTTTGGGATTGTGGCTATGATTTGCAGCGCTATCCTGTGGCGGCGGACAGTCACTGCAAGGGCTCCTGAATCACATGAATCAAATTGTGGCCAATTGGTAAATAAGCCTATTCAGGTGGACATTTAATAAAGATTCAGAAATGACTGTTTGAAAAGGGAGTTGCTCAGTGCTCAGGCCAACAATTCACGTGACTGTTAATCATTCACCTCGTGGCTGGTTGTGGCATTGTGCGACAACTCCCACCATTTGCGACAAGTAGTCACAATGCTTGTGAAGCCCTTTTGACTTGTTATTGGCCCTGAAGCAAATGCAAAGATCGTTATTAATCCTTTAAATACTCTTTGCACTTCTTTGATGCGGAGTCCTGTAGCTCAGTGGTTAAATACTCTCCTTGCAAGTGAAGGGACCTGGGTTTGATTCCAGGGTAGGGCGAAACATTGGGCAAGTTCTTACTCCACACGCCTCTATTCACCTAGCAACAAGTAGGAACCGGTTGTGAGTAGATTGGCAGATCGCTTTTCTGGGGATAATAATCCCTTCAAAAATTAATACTAATTTGGTCACTTAATCCACCAGTTTCTGAAACACTGCTTTGCACAGTGGCTGCCACCATTCGCTCACAAAATATACAGTCAATTCACTTTACAGTATATACTGTGAAGCGCTTTGAGATGTCTTGAAGATATAATAATAATAATAATAATAATCCTTGCATTTGATATAGCACTTTTCACGTCAGGAGGACGTCCCAAAGCGCTTCACAGAACACACTGTAAAGTGAATTGACTGTATATTTGTGGGCGAACGCGGCAGCCAATTGCGCACAGCAATGTCCCACAAACAGTCGTAGATTGAAAATGACCAATTTATTATTGTTTTTGGTTTTGGAGGGTTATTATTAGGCTCTGTGTGGAGTAAGGAAACTTGCCCAAGGTTTCGCCCTCTGCCTGGATTGAACTCAGGTCTCTCACTTGCAAAGCGAGTGCTCTAACCACTGAGCTACAGGACTCCACGGGGGAGTCTTGTAGCTATAAGGGGCTATATCAACTGCAAGGATTATTATTTTTATGACATGTAATAATCAGGTCATTGAGATACTCAATGTCATGTCACTGTATATTTTGTGGATGAAGCACCAATTGCACACATCAGTATCCCCTAAACGGTCAATGATTGAGTGATTATTTTTTTTGGAAGGGATTATGACCCCAGAAAGCTATCTGCCAATCGACTAACAACCGTGTTCCTACTTACTGCAAGGGGAACAGAGGCGTGTTGAGTAAGGAAACTTGTCAAAGGTTTCGCCATGCTGGGAATCAAACCCGGGACCTTTCGCCTGCGAGTGCTCCAACCACTACACTGCAGGACTCCACCAGTCTTGTCCATTTCACGTAGTGTGGTGAGAATGTGGGCCTCACTGCCAGAACATTGGGCTGAATGGCCTGTTCCTGGGCCGTGTGACTCTGTGTAACATTGAGCGCATGAACTGATGACGAGACAGAAATATATTTATAAGATTTATTGAACAGCTGCATGGCAGCAACGTGTTTCCTTGGCCTCAACAGCCAGCAGCTGCCAACACGGAACTGTGAGAGCTGTGTTGCTTGCCCACTCGCCCTCTGACATTGAACGACTTCGAAATACACACATGCATCAGTCGAGAGAGTCCGAATCACAAGACAAGACGAGCCCCTTGTATGTCCCGTGTATGTAATGAACCATTAAAATAAAAGAGTTACCAAAACAGAAACTCCTTTGTAAAAAGCAGCCTGAAAGAACCTTATACCAAATTCAGTCACACACACCCCTTTCCCGTTTATGAAATGCTTCAAAACAGCTTCCGGTCTTCCCAAGTGGAGCGGACGCAGGCATTCCGGCAAAAAGAACAGTCTTCTATTTCCCAGGGAAGGGCTTCAAATGTCCATGTCGAACTGGGCGTCATCCACTGTAAGTGCAAAGCAAGTTGGACGTTAGCTCAGTGCCCGGCCCCGCTGGAAACCCGCAAAGGAAGCACAGAGGCAGTGAATCGATTTATTGAGGGTTTGCACCTGAGCTGGGGGTTGGATTCGAGAGGGGTGGGAGCCGAGGAAGACTGAGGATGCGCCATATAAAACTGCTCTGATAACATAACCAAAAGTACAACATGCGAGACAAGACATACAAGGAGCAATAAAAATAATCTCAAAACCGCCAGTTGTACTTTGTCAGCAGCTTGTGTCTCTCTCCAGAGATTATTGGGAAATCCACACCACGGGGATGTTACAGGGAAACCGGCTTTTGAAAGATTTTAAAATTTTACCAAAAGAAAATACAATGACCAGTAATAATTAATAATAATAATTCTTACATTCAGTGCAGCGCATTTCACGTCGGGAGAACGTCTCAACAATAAATTACATTTGTATAGCGCCTTTCATGTCGGGAGCCCATCATAGTATATTTCGTAAGCGATATAACTTTCCATTTTTTCCAAAAGAAAACTAACTCCATATGATATTTATACAATACAAAATAATCACTTTGTATTTCATATTCTGAGGCCAAAATTGTACACTTATTAGTGACTGCATTTTACAGTAAAGTCCTCCTGATGTGAAAAGCGCTATATAAATGCAATTGTATTGTAAATCCTGTGAATTCGAATTCAAGATCCTCATCCTCACCTACAAGGCCATTCACGGCCTTGCTCCCTCCTACCTCTCTGACCTACTATCCCCCTACCTACCCGCCCGTACCCTCCGTTCCTCTGGCTCCGGTCTGCTCCACATCCCCCGTCCCAACCGCCCTACCATCAATGGTCGGGCCTTCAGCCTCTCAGCCCCGAGGCTCTGGAACTCCATCCCCCAGTGCCTTCGCCGCCTCCTCCCTTTCCTCCTTCAAGGCCGGTCTCAAGACCTTTCTCTTTGACCGAGCCTTCAGCTCCCCTCTCAACTCTCTACCCCCTCCTCGCTCCCTCCCTTCCCTCCCCTCACCCTGACCATTTCCCCCTCCTCGGGTCCTGACCAACTGTACAGCGCCTTGGGACGTCCTCCCGATGTGAAAGGCGCTCAATAAATGGAATCTTGTTGTTGTTGTTGTTGTTGTTGTTGTTGAAGCGCTTTGAGAAGGCCTCCCCAGGTGAAAGGCACTGTATCAAACACAAGGATTTATTAATTTTTTTAAAATTGATTTGAACCATTGATCCTCCCATGAACCTTCAGCAGTGACTTTATCCCGTAAAGCGGTTTTGAAGTGGAAATATTCCCTGGGGTTTATTGATGAATTAATTGTCTTGCAAAACCTTTTAATTCCTAAAAAGCAGCCACATGGTCCCATTAGTTCTAAGCACTGGTAAGTTCAGGGTTCCAAATCCCAGGACTTCATCGGTGGATAAAATGAGTAGTAAACTTGACTGGAATACAATTAGGGCTCCCGGGGCTGAGCTGATTCTCAGCAGCAAAGCCAGAGAAGCCTGTGATAATCCATGTTTAAGGGTGGAGACACTAGTCTTATCCTAAACCCCAACAGGGCAGGGCCCGAGCTGGACAATTACCAAAGGAAACAGGATTGTCAACTATACCACTGAACAGAATAAGAAGCTGCTGCTTCAAATGCTAATCCAGACTGACCCGGTCTGGTCAGAGGGTTTTCAAGCCTTTTCGAGAAACACACACATTTTAAACATGTCGCACACACCAGACAACCCTACACACATACACACAGACACACGAGCGAAGGGTGTGAAAGAATAACAAAATTAATCCTTGCATTTGCTCTCGTACCTTATCACATCGTCGAGACATCTCAAAGCGCTTCACAAAATACACAGTAAAGTGGAGTGACTGTGTATTTTGTGGCGGAAACGCGGCAGCAGTATTCCACAAACAGTGGTGGGTTAAACGAGCAATTTTTAAAAAAATATAAGTACAAATTAACAGCAGTAACAATGGCGCCTGAACCAACAAACACAGTTACAGCTTTGGGAGCTAAAGTGGAATCAGTTCCCACAGCCTCCTCGTCAGCAACTGCACATTGTTACTTAGCAACCAGTTTCTCAATTAACAGCAACAATTTTCCCAGACAAATACATGGAAAAAAATATCCATTACTGGTGAGAACTTGTTGGGTGAGGGGTGAATGAATTGATAGTTTATGGGATAAGACATTGCAGTCTTGTAATCAAGTCTTATTATGTTCAAAAACCCAAAGACCCCTTATTTTTTTAAAAAAATTTAAACTCAGTAATAGTAAGAAAATGCAAATCTTGTCACGTCAATCCACAGAAATAAAGGTTGACATGAATTTTTTAAAAAATAAATGCAAGTTGTTGTTTTTCTTGTTACGAAATGTGCTTTGTGGCTTCACACACACACACACACACACACACACACACGTCCCCCGCCCCCCGAACTGTATAAATGCCAACCAGCGGACTTTAACCTCTCCTGATTCTGTGAATCATTCCATTCAAAACAACAGCAGGTCACGTAACATCAATCGAACATCACATGCAGGTCATAAGTATGATAGTCTGCCAAGGTCAGACCCGGAACTGAGGTCTGAGAGGCCGGGGAGTGAGGACCACTGGCATCTAACAACCGAATTCCAGGAGTCATTCAGCAATAATTGGGGATCTCCCCCAGGCTCCACCCCCCCCCCCCACCCCGACCCCCAGCTCAGATTCCCGTCCAGCTCTGTGAAACATTGCAAGATGTGTACTCGACGTGAGAGGCTCCGAGACCCCAGCCCCCTCCCCCCACCCTCGCTCAATCTCACCAGGAACTTTCTCCATCTCCTCGTGCTCTTTCATCTCCTCAACTTTGGCCAGTGTGGAGTGTTGAGGCAATGTCACCCCCGGGATCTGGGGCAGATAGCAAGGAGGTGTCCTGGCAATGGGGGAGTTTCTGCATTCCATCAGGAATTTACGGTCATAGATGATCCTTGTCCCTGAGAACAAAACACAACAGACAGAAACATTTATATACAGTAGAACTTGTGTAAGTCTGATCTGTATAAATCATATCATTGCCTTAAGGTCATACATCTGCCCAAGTCCTGTTGAATTTCCTATTATTTACAAGTTTCACACAACTCAAGAGTTTCATTAGTCATATTTAATGGATGGTTCCAGCTAATACGATTTATGTAAAGATTACCTAAGCCAGGGCGTGAAGGGATTTGTAGAAAAGCAAGAGGATCTTGAAATCGCCCCTTTCTGTGATAGGGAACCTGGCAAGGACATTGTGATGGGGGTTCGGAGTTTAGTGTGTGTAAGAGAATATGAGCAGCAGAGTTCTGAATCAGGTGCAGTTTGTGGGTAGTGGAGCTGCGGAAACAACAACAACAAATATAGCAGCTTTCACGTCAGGAGAAATGATGCTAAATAATAATCCTCACATTTGATAGTGTCATAACACGTCGTTGAGATGTCTCAAAGCTCTTCACAGAATATATTAAGTGAACTGACTGTATATTTTGTGAGCGAAACACAGCAGCCAATTGCCCACAGCAGTGTCCCACAAACAGTCGTGGATTGAGTGACAAAATTATTATTATTAATTTTTATCAAGACCTGCGAGGAGGGTATTGTAGTCGAGGCGGGAGGCAACAAAGGTGTGGACGAGGTTTTGGCTGTGTTGGGGGTGAGTACATAGGTTTTCTCTCCTGCGACTTTCTCTGGTTTCTTTCCTTTATCGTTCTCTTCCCCCAACCCCAACCCTCCATTGTGTGTTTCTCTTCAGCAAACTGCCCAGATTGTACATTCCAGACACATATACTTAACCTAGCAGATGAACTGTGACAGCCAGTGTTGGTCAGGAGAAATCCTACCCTCCCTATGTACAGCTAGCTGACAGACGTAAACGTATGTTATGTCATTACCAAGAACTCGGGAGGAGGGCTGAAGAGATAAACAAGATCTTGGCCGACAGTGCTGGAAAGTCTTTTTCTTGGGCTGAGACATCCCAAAGTGCTTTACTGCAAAGTGGATTGATTGTATTTTGTGGGTGAAACGCAGCACCCAATTGAGCACAGCAGTGTCAAACAAACAGTCGTGGATTGATTGACCATTTTAAAAAAAATTTGAGAAATTATTACCCCCAGAAAGCAATCTATCAATCGACTGACAACCAGGTTTGTACTTACTGCTAGGTAACCAGAGACATGTGGAGTAAAGAAACTTGCCCAAGTTTTCGCCCCATCCAGGAATCGAACTGTGGATCCTCTCGCTTGCAAGGCAAGCGCTCTCACCACTACCCTACAGGACTCATTAGATACACAGCCCATTCCAGTCCAAAAATGATTAAAACATGCTGCTGATACAACAGGAGACTGATTGATCGGCATCTGAACCAGTTACCTTTCCCAGAGAGCAATGCGCAATTGTTGCCACAAACGTTTCATCAGTTACCAAACTCCCTGCTTCTTTAATTTGCTCCACAATCCCATTATAAGTGGGACTGAGATCTGTGTAAGGGTTGAACAAGCCTGATGCGGGGGGAGGGCAGAGTTGGTTGCTCCGTGTCACAAACTTGAGGCCAAATAATGAAGCCAATTGGCACAGAAAAAACATGAAATAAATAAAAGTATTCAGTGGTTACATGCACCTTGTGGCAGTCAGATGACTGGTGCACAGGTTTGGTTTACTGAGATGAGTGCATTCCCACAATCAATCAATCATTGTTTTGCAGCCATAAATTCAGTAACAAGCTGCTCGAAATTGGACGCAAGAATCAGACGTTAATTATACAGGGTGAATCAGAAGACTTTAAATAACTTTTTAATTATTAACTATGTTCTTTAATAATACTTGCACTTGATATAACGCCTTAATACGTCATTGAGATGTCTCAAAGCGCTTCGCAAAATATACTGTAAAGTGAATTAACTGTGTGTTTTGGGGGCGAAACACTCTATTTACTTCTTAGCTATTGTAGAGAATGTCTTTCATCACGTTTGTGAAATGTTTTTGTCACCGAGTTGATATGTGTAAATGTCTGCATGGCAAGTAGTTTGAACATCTCATATTGACCTATGAATGGGGACATTTGATTATAATAATAATAATCCTTGCATTTGATATAATGCCTTATCATGTTGTCCCAAAGTATGCCACACAATATACAGTAAAGTGAATTGACTGTATATTTTGTGGGCAAAAGACAGCAGCCAAATTGTGATCAGCAGTGTCCCACAAACAGTCGTAGATTGAGTGACCAAATTATTATTATTTTTTTGAAAGGATTATTACCCCCGGAAAAGTGATCCGCCAATCGACAAACAACCAGGTTCCCAATTACTGCAGGTAAATAGAGGCATGTGGAGTAAGGAAACTTAGCTAAGGTTTTGCACCGCCCGGGAATCAAACCTGGGACCTCTCGCTTGCAAGGTGCAAGGCGAGAGCTCTAACCACTGAGCTACAGGACATTCAGGACATTCACCCTGTGTAGCAAAGTGTTCCTGTATTCCACCTTTCGCGCCACCCAGCACTGTGAGGGCGGTCGCAAACATGTTATGCAACAAATTTCTATTAAAAGTTCAAAAGGAGCAAGAGGCGGGGGGGTGGAGGAGGGGAGAGAGGAGTCAGGGGGGTGGTTGGAAAACAAGCAGATTGTGCTGCCGTCAACAGTGCTGCCCGTGAGATATGCCTTATCAGCACATGTGAACGACTGTTTCTGAGTTTTTTGAAAAGGGTGTTGGGGAAATCTATACACATTGTGCGGTCACATAATTCGTGTGTAATCCCGTGTCCTGAACAGATGAATGGAGCTACACAAACAAGTGGTTTTAAAGTCTGAGAAAACTGACAACTGCCACTGAGCATTACACAGTAACTAATTTATAATAACTAATATCGCCCACAAAAATACAGTATATTGTTTAGCACTCTGTGACGTCTCACAGTTTTTCTCTCTGTAAAGCGCTTTAAGACGTTTCAGCTACTTGGGACGTCTTCCCTACGTGAAAAGCGTTATACAAATGTAATTTGTTGTTGTTTCAACATCGTGATAAGGCGCGATATCAAATGCAAGTATTATTATTATTATTAACTAGCAGCCTTGAGAATGGCAGAATCAGGGTGTTAAGATACCCAACCAGGGGCAAATTTCTTTTGCAAACTTTTTCTCAACAACCCCTTCAAGTAAAGAGTGTGTCTGTGCTGGGGGGGGGGGGGACATTCCAAAACTAAGTGCTGTCTTTCCGAGGGGCACGTCAGTCATGGATTATTAAAGCCTTTAGCTGCAGTGCAGTTCCTGACAACTGGTTGAGCAGTGGTTATATTTTCAGGCTCAAGCCACAACACTCGGTGGAGTTAACACTGAGCCAGGGCGTTCCCCTACCCTGGTGGGGGGAGGGGAAGGGGAGCGGCAGCACATGGCAAATTCTCAGGAGTTTCTTTGGAACTGAAACTTGTCCGTAGAGAGAAAAACAACTTGAAGAGGTCATTTTATTCCCCCACCTCACTCCACACACGATTGCACACACACAAACGCATGCATACACACTCTCCTCCCATGCCCCAAAAAACAGCCCCGCTCACATTTATCTTCCATGAATACCACAGCGAGAATTTTCAAGCACCATAAAAGTGCACCAGGGTAACTCCAACCATAACAAATAGCAATCATTGTATTTTATGCAGCGTCGTCGAGACGTCTCAAAGCGCTTCACAGGATTATTGTGTATTCTGTAGGCCAATTTGACCGGAGCAATGTCTCCACAAACAGCCGTGAAGTGAATGAACGGTTTTACTTAAACTAATCTAACCCTTCCCTCCACTTTTTAAGTAATGACAGTAGTTTAGAAGCACCCACCAACGCCCCCCACCCCACCCACACACACACAGAAGCCCAATGTTTCTTCTGTGACAAGTCTACGCTCTCTGCCTCAGTGACAGGTCTACGCAATCTGACTCAGTGCTCGCTTCCTTGCGAATACTAACTTCAATAGTAAAACGGGAACTGAATGTGAAGCAAATGACTCAAATATCCTCTGATCCCCACCATTTTTTATGCTTTGAAAAAGTAATTTTTCTGGAAGTTACAACTCCAAGTTTGCAACAATAATAACCTCTTCTTTCGAAGTATGTGATTTTCTCTGAATTTATCAACAGGCAGATCTACAGCTCTCCTCACTCACCAGCTAAATCCATCTCCGTGCTACAAACCCATTTTGTGTTTATTTTTAATTTCTGATGAGCTTTTTTTTGTCATTGAAGCAGGTGAATTGTCAACGAGGACGTACAAGGTCCTAATTTCTACCTAGTCTTAGCCATTAGAAACACAAATGGCTACCGAGTTACTCCCACAAAATACACAGTCAATCCACACCACAGTACATTCTGTGAAGCACTTTGAGATGTCTCAATGATGTGATAAGGTGCTATATCAAATGCATGGATTATTATTACAACAACAACACAAGATTCCATTTATAAAGCGCCTTTCACGTCAGGAGGACGTCCCAAGGCGCTGATTATTCCACACGCATCTCTTTACTGAGCAGTAAGTAGGAACCTGGTTGTTAGTCGACTGGCGGATCGCTTTCCAGGGGTAATAATCCCTCAAAAAGAGACACAAGAAGAAATTTGGTTTCTCAATCTACGACTGTTTGTGGGACACTGCTGTACACAATTGGCTGCCGCGTTTTGTCCACAAAACACACAGTCAATCCACTTTGTAATATATTCTGTGAAGCACTTTGAGACGTGATAAAGTGCTATATCAAATGCAAGAATTATTATTAATATTATCATCACCTTTGGCAATGCAACGCAATGCATCTCAGTACAGTTCGGCACATCTCCATCCCCCNTGTGCTTTGAGCGGAGTCCATAGTAATCTCTAACAGACCTTGAAAAGCTCTTAAGTTAATTTAAACCTTTAACCCACTGCTCTTGTCCTCCCAAATGCCTGACATCACTCTCTTGGACATGATCAATAATCACCTCTTCCTCTCTTCACCTCTCTTTAGGGGGGAGAGGGAAGAATGCAGTGCAGCTGCACACAAGCACGGGAGGGAACACAATCCACACTTCATTTTCACAAAGTCCAAGCGAGGGAAGGAACAGTACATCTCTCTCTCACATATATTATATATATGCCTCTCTATACATATATATCTATCTATACATTCTATCTACCTCTCTATAGTGCTCTCTCTCTCTCTCCATATATATATATAATGCATATCCATCTCTCTCTATATATAATGTATAACCATCTCTCTATATATATAATGTATAACCATCTCTCTATATATAATGTATAAACAACTCTATCTCTCTATATATAGTATAACCATCTCTCTCTATATATAATGTATAACCATCTATTTCTCTCTCTATATATTGTATAACCATCTCTCTATATATAATGTATAACAACCTCTCTCTCTATATATAATGTATAACCATCTCTCTCTCTATATATATATATATGATGTGTAACCATCTCTCGTTCTCTCTCTATATAATGTATAACCAACTCTCTCTATATATATTATATATATGATGTGTAACCATCTCTCTCTCTATATATATATATGTGTAACCATCTCTCTCTCTCTATATATATATATGATGTGTAACCATCTCTCTATATATATGTGTGTAACCATCTCTCTCTATATATGATGTATAACCATCTCTCTCTATACATATAATGTATAACCAACTCTCTCTATATATTATATATGGTGTGTAACCATCTCTCTCTATATATATATATATATGATGTGTAACCATCTCTCTCTCTGTATATATATATATATGATGTGTAACCATCTCTCTCTATATATATAATGTATAACCAACTCTCTCTCTGTATATATTATATATATGATGTGTAACCATCTCTCTCTCTCTATATATATATATGTGTAACCATCTCTCTCTATATCCTCGCTCCCTCCTTCCCTCCCCTCACCCTGACCATATAATGTATAACCAACTCTCTAGCGCCTTGGGACGTCCCTCCTGACGTGAAAGGCGCTCTATATATATTATATATATGATGTGTAACCATCTCTCTCTATATATATATAATGTATAACCAACTCTCTCTCTGTATATATTATATATATGATGTGTAACCATCTCTCTCTATATATATATAATGTATAACCAACTCTCTCTCTGTATATATTATATATATGATGTGTAACCATCTCTCTCTATATATATATAATGTATAACCAACTCTCTCTCTGTATATATTATATATATGATGTACAACCATCTCTCTCTATATATATAATGTATAACCAACTCTCTCTCTGTATATATTATATATATGATGTGTAACCATCTCTCTCTATATATATAATGTATAACCAACTCTCTCTCTGTATATATTATATATATGATGTGTAACCATCTCTCTCTCTATATATATATATGTGTAACCATCTCTCTCTCTCTCTATATATATATATATGATGTATAACCATCTCTCTCTCTATATATAATGTATAACCAACTCTCTCTCTGTATATATTATATATATGATGTATAACCATCTCTCTGGTGGCACTGCTGTGTCTCGGCCTCTCCACTCCTCCCTCTCACCAACAAGAAGATTGACATCGTTTGATACAAAGTGTCGCTGATGTAACTCTGAGTGATATCGAAGTCCTGAGTGTCCCTTTGCCCCACATTGACCATCAATCACTCACACAATAAATTAACTTTCCGAAAAAAACTCTCTCTCCAATTTGCCGAAGCAAAGCACTGGGTATCTCTGAGATCAAATGCTTTAGCCTTTTTATTGTGGTGTCTCAGAGAAAAAAAATAAATTGAGACTTAATTTGAAGTGTGTGATTTTGTTTGGGGTTTTTTTCTCTCTCTCTTTGGGGTTTGTGCACAAACTACTTTCCTCCAAATGCCACTTCTCATTTTTTTTTCCCCCTCTTTCAAACCCCAAAAAACTTTTTGAAAACTTTTACCCCCAAAAAAATGATGTATCAAAACAAAGAGAATACCAGTTCAGCTTCTCCCCCAATCCTTTTATTTCCCCCCAAACTGCAGGAATACATTGGTAATGTGTTGTCAGCGACAAAACAGAAACGTTGTGTATTATTTTCTAAACATTTCCTATTTTTTAAAAAACGCAAAAGTTCCGAATAAATATTTGGAAAAACGATATTCAACTCTGAGTGTAAAAAAACAGGAAACCAGAAACTTTCTCTCTCTCTCTCCCCCCTCCCCCTCTCCCCCTTCCCTCCCCCCCTCTCTCCCTCCCTCTCTCCCCCCCCATCCCCCTCTCTCTCTCTCCCCCTTCCCCCCTCCTCTCCCCCCTCTTCCCCCCCTCTCTCTCTCTCTCTCCCCCTCCCCTCCCCCCCTCTCTCCCCCTTCCCCCCCCCCCTCTCTCTCTCCCCCCCTTCCCCCCCTCTCTCTCTCCCCCCCTTCTCCCCCCCTCTCTCCCTCCCTCTCTCCCCCCCTTCCCCCCCTCTCTCTCTCCCCCCCTCTCGCCCCCTCCCTCTCCCCCCTTCCCCTCTCTCTCCCCTTCCCCCCTCTCTCCCCCTCTCTCCCCTCCCTCCTCTCCCCCTTCCCCCCCTCTCTCCCCCCCTTCCCCCCCTCCCCCTCCCTTCCCCCCTCTCTCTCCTCTCCCCCCTCCCTTCCCCCTCCCCCCCCTCTCCTCTCTCTCTGCCCCCTTCCCCTCTCTCCCCCCCCTCTCTCCCCCCCTCTCCCCCCCCTCCCCCTCCCTCCCCCCCCCCCCCCCCCCCCCTCCCCCCCCCTCTCCCCCCCCCCCCCCCCTCCCCCCTCCCCCTCTCTCCCCTCAACAGGAACACACATTTCATTCAATGTCACTCCAGGGAACACACAGTGATTCCCCACTTGTACCATATTTACCTCCGGGAGTGGTGGAGAAGAGGGTCCCTCCCGGAGTACTGCTGTACACATCGGGCAACTGCGAGAGGTCTTTGAGGAGCACTGCGGTGGGGATGGGACAGCTTTTACTTTGGTGGCAGTTGGTGGACATGTTGTTGATCTTCGGCTGAAGGGGAGAGTCACAGAGAGGAACTCAGAGAAGAAGAAATACAATTTGCCAAAGGGGTCAAAAATAAACTGGAACTTCTGATTGATTCCTTCCCCAACACTTCTGGGACTTCCCCCCTGAGCCGCAGTCAGTGAGTGAGTGAGTGAGTGTGTGTGTGAGTGAGTGGAGCAACAAACAGCAAAGCCCATGTGTGTGTCTCACAGAGAGAGAGAGAGAGAGGACGTGACGCTGTGGCAGTGGGTGGAGGGGTAGAGCACAACTCACTGTACAGAGAAACACGTCTCACACATATCTGTCACTCATGTGCTCAGTTGTTTTTTTTGCAAATTTTTTTGCCATTAAATATTGAAACAGCCCCTCCCCCCCACTCCCCCCTCCCCCCCACTCCCCCCCCACTCCCCCTCTCCCCCCACTCCCCCCCTCTCCCCCCCACTCCCCCCCACTCCCCCTCCCCCCCCCCCCCCCCCACTCCCCCTCCCCCCCCACTCCCCCTCTCCCCCCACTCCCCCCCCCCCCCTCCCCCCCCTCCCCCCATATAAAAACACAATATTGTTTGCATGTTAAACGATTTTTTTTTGCAAAAGGATTTCTGCCCAAAGATCTGATTGATAACCACTGACCACAACACAAATACTGTACATCCTGTTCCCTGCCCTCCCCCCTCCCCCCTCCCTACACACACACCATCCCCACACCCACTGCCCTTTGAACACAGGGTTTATTTTGAAGCTCTGCTATTCACAAGGAATCCAGAGGTCACAACGCTGTCCATACCAGTGCCGCTAACACACCAGCGCTAAGCCAGAAAGGCTTTGGTTAGAAGAGGTCAGGGGTTGGTGGGGGGTCTCCATTGCCAATGTCGAAATGGAATCGATCCTTTGTTTCAGTTTTGCTTCCAGTACCTGTGGAGTCCGGTAACTCAGTGGTTAGAGCACTCGCCTCGCAAGCGAGATCCCTGGGTTTGATTCCTGGGAGGGCAAAATGTTGGGCAAGTTTCCTTACTCCACACACACGCCTCTGTTTACCCAGCAGTAAGTAGGAACTCGGTTGTTAGTCGATTGGTGGATCGCTTTCCTGGGGAAATAATCCGTCTTAAAAACAATAATTTGGTCACTCAATCCATGACTGTTTGTGGGGCACTGTCGTGCACAATTGGCTGCCGTGTTTCAACCACAAACCACACAGGCTATTTAGTTTACAGAACGTTCTGTGAAGTGCTTTGGGATGTCTCAATGACGTAATAAGGTGCTGTATCAAATGCAAGGATTATTATTATTATTAATAAACCTACAAGTTAGAAAGGAGTCCATCCTGTTGCAGTTTTGCTATTCCAGGACCGCCGTTCTCAGACCAGCCAGACTTGGGGGTGCAGACCAGTCGCCGAGGGAAGGGGGTTAAGAGAGAGATTCTTTCCACTCGGCTCCCAATAACTCTGCAAGCCAAAGCCCTAACACAGTGGTGGGCAACTTGGTCAACAAAATCAATTTTCTCGAATATTTCTTGATTTATGCTATAAATCAATCAAGAAAACAAAACTTAAAATACTATCAATCGAATACTAGACTTGTGCAAATGTTGGGGGGGGGGGGGGGAGTTCTTGACAGGTTAGCCAACACTGCCCTCACAGAGAGGGTGGTCATTGCTGGACAAGCAGCAACATAAAGAACACTGCGCTCCAAACAGACGCGACATGAAAACAAGTTTCAACTTTGATTTGGTTGAAACGGGTTTTATACCCATATATGTACACCCACAATATGACTCACTTTCCCTCAGTGTACTGGGTGACCTCTGTGTTAAATCCTCACAAATGAATGCAAGTCGCTATAACTAGGTGTAACTTGACTAATGAATTCGTCCACGTCAACAGGTACTACCAATTGCTATTTAAATTAAAGCAAATTGGGAAGCTTCAGTCAATCAGAGGTTTATTTTGCACCTCTGTAACCCAGGCTGAACCTATTTGTCTATTCCCTCCTCCTTTGATTTATACAGAAAGCTCGAGTTAAGTATAGTTAAGTTCACTCAACGGAATTTTATGTAGCTTTGATGAAATCCACAACCCTCGGCATTCAATCTTAAACAACATAATAAATATCAACAAACACAACTATGAGATAACGGACATTAACCACACTTACCACATTACGAGTGGCCAGCAGCCACTCGTAATGAAGTTAATGTAAACAACAACAACAAGATTCCATTTATAGAGCGTCTTTCACGTCGGGAGGACGTCCCAAGGCGCTGGACAGTTGGGTCAGGACCCGAGCAGGGGGGGAAATGGTGAGGGTGAGGGGAGGGAAGGGAGGGAGGGAACGAGGAGGGGGTAAAGTGCACGAAGAACCAACCTCTGACTACTACTCATCAATAGTCAGAGCATGTACCTTTTGTTGTCATCAGGTAGAAAAATATCAACCCCGAGCACCTGGCGCTCGTTCTTTTATGGGCATTGAGCCCCTCCCCGAACAACGGTAATTGTATTTCACCAATTACTTGATGTAATTTTTTATGGTCCAATCAGATCTTCCTCTCAGTTGCGTAATAGGGGGACAAATACACTTCCAATCCCTCATTTGCCTATTGGAATGGTAAATTACCCGCCAAATTATTGCAACCGACACCTTTGGAGACCTGATGGCAACATAAGTATCAAAAATGTTAAATACATAAAAAATGTATTTAAAGAGCTACTCAATATACTTATCACGAGCATGTGCCAGTTCTACCAAACTTCGTCGCTTTCCGAGTTTCCTCGAGCACAATTGGTAGTTACTAACCGCACTCGCACTGGCTAATGTTTTTAGCGAACACATAAACTTTACAGAACAACAGATGGGCATAGAAAACAAAGGGGTGACCGTGGCAGACAGGTTGGAGAGGTAGGAAGGTACCAGGGTAAGAAGGGATTTGAAAACGAGGAAGGACAGCTGTGGGTGAAACCTGATACCTAGGTTTGGTCTGAGGGATAGGCTGGGGAGGATGAGAGGGTCAGAGCCACAGAATAGAAGACGAGTATGGCTTCCGTCTTGTCAACATTTAGTTTTAGAAAGTGTTTGCTCATCCAAGTCTTGTTGTCCACCAGACAAGCAGAGAGAACATTGGCGGTCCTGGTAGTCGCAACTGGAGAAGTAGATTTGTGTGTCATCCACATACATGTGGAAGTTTACCCCGCGTCTGCGGATGAATTCACCAAGAGGGAGCATATAGGTGAGGAAGAGGGGGCCTCGGATGGAGCTTGGGGTACACCACAGGTGACTGGGTGAGTGGCAATAGGAGAAACCGTTTGAGGAGATAAAGTGAAGGCGGTTTGTTAGGTAGGACTCAAACCAAGCTTGTGCGGTCCCACTCAGATGGATGATGGAGGAGAGGCAGTGGATGAGGATGGTGTGGTCAACTGTCTCGAACGTGGCGCAGAGGTCCAGGAGGACGAGGAGCCAGAGGGATCCCTGGTCACAGAGAGAGAGGATGTTGTTTGTGACCTTGACAAGTGCTATCTCTGTGGTGTGCTATAATTGTTAATGTGTGGATATTCAAGATGACCAGTAATGCGATACAAATTGAGATTTTAGTGAAAAAGATGGAGTCACTCTAGGGTTAATAATAATCCTTGCATTTTATATAGGGTGTTATCACATCGTTGAGAAGCTTGAAAGCACTTCACAGAATATATTAATTATTTAAATTTATTTATTTAGTTAAGCATTTATCCTTGGCTCCCCATGCTTCCCAGCTATTTTCCATCTTCCATAAACCATCAAAACATAACGTCTGTAGATTTCGTACTGGTGCATACATGATAATATACGATCACAGCATATTATGCATTGAAAATGAGAGCAGGTGATCAGAGTGGATAACTGTGGTTCCACTGTACTACAAAACTACTCCAAACACAGACCAGTCATCGGTTTCCTTTGTTGCCTGCAGCATAGCCTCTGCTTTCACAGCAAAGCAAATGCAGTAAAAAGAGGTTATTTCGTCCATTTCTTCCGCAGACTCTGTACCATCCCATTTAATCACCAGAAGAAAGGTTCAACTGCTGACTGAACCTCTTATCTCAGCAATACTTCTGACAGCAATTGTGTTCCTTGGGATTATTTTTCCTCAGTGGCACAGTATTATTCCATCCGCACTTCATTCAAACCCTAAATTCAAGTCTGAATGTTGCAGGTATAGTAGCATTCTCACCTCAGAGTCAGAAAGTTGTGGGTTCAAACCTCACGTTGGGACGTGGAATCACATAGTCTAAGCTGACACTCCCTGCAAAAGAACTAATTTCTGCCTGGGTGATGGTAAAAGCCCTACAATTAGCTTCCTGTGAACTGGTGGAATTGGGAGGGAAGCAAGAAGAATTCAGGCACAGTTCTTACTTCTGCCATGTGGATAAACATGCGAGGTTCCCTAATGTTCCCAGCAGCTATGTTAGGTTCCTGGGAGCCAAAAGTCAACCCCTCCCCCCACCTGTGTTTTTTAAAAAAAAGCTTTTGTTAAAAGCAAAGCAGCTCGCAAAATGAAATATCAATTATCAAAGCATACTGCAAAATGAACGTGGGTCTGGTGGCGTGGTCTCCAAATTCCTAGCTTCCCGGCGATCACATGCACAGAATCCCTTTGGATTTTAATAACAATGTGTGAAGTTTTCCAAGTCTTTTGAATTGAGATTGGTCAACCAGTCAGTACACAAGTGTGTTTGCAGTAGGCACGGAGAAGTGCATGTCGAGGTTATTTTCCAGCTGGAGATCTGGAAATGTGAACCATTTGTTTATAAGGCCTCATCATAATTCCTACTCTGGAATAAAAAGTTGAATCAAATGTGGCGCACCAGAGTTTATAATGAGGTGAAGTACCAGAAAGCAGCTTCAACCTACCAGTTTCACTTGTATCCCAAGGGATTGCGTTGAAGGTCTCCAGTGCAGTTATGGCGTTCCTGGTGCTATCCATTGTTTAGAACGGGGCCAAATATAATTGTGTTGGAAGTCAAGTGTGTTAACTTGATAATGTATCTGCCATCATTGAGAAATATCAAACCTCTCCCAAGTCCTCTGGTCAGCACTGAAGCTTATTCCTTTGAGATGAAGCGTGCATTGATGAACAAAGTTCTTCAATATTGATGACAATGTACCGTGACATTTTCATTTCCCACAAGTTATATTTTTCAGTGTGTTTTGTGCATGCTTTGCTAATGGTTACTCTCAAGCCAATTCAGGTTTCAAGGTCAACCATGTCTTCGACTGCCTCACCTTCGTGCGTTGGGAACGGATGAAGGGACTGGAAGAGTACTTACTCTGGAGTCTCTTTTTGCACTTTTGTAACAGCTTTATAACCAAAGTGTCACGGTCTTGTGGGAGAAACTAGATATTGGCAATTTCATTTACAATTCCAAAAATTTTAACGGTTTTAAAAACATCCAATTTACCAGCGAATATCTCACCTGAATCAACTGATACGAAAAAAAAAAACAGAATTCTGATCGGTTGATCAGTCCCAATTTCTACTTCCAATGAGTTCACATGAATGTATTTCAATATTCTATCTATATCCTGAATGTGAAGCTTTTAGCACCAAATTTTATTCAATTAATATACTCAAATTTCTGCAGGAAAATTGAATACCAGCACCTGTTAGAAACCAGTTCAATAGTTGCAAATATGTAAAGACTTCAGCAGCAAATGTTGGGAATATTTAAGTCTTACTCTTGTGAAAAAAGTCACTTATTCCATAATAATAATCCTTGCATTTGATATAGCACTTTTCACGTCTTCTAGACGTCCCAAAGCGCTTCACAGAATATACTGTAAAGTGAATTGACTAAATTTGTGGGCGAACACGGCAGCCAATTGCACACAGCAATGTCCCACAAACAGTCGTAGATTGAAAATGACCAATTTATTATTATTTTTGGTTTTGGAGGGATTATTATTAGGCGTATGGAGTAAGGAAACTTGCCCAAGGTTTCGCCCTGCCTGGAATTGAAAAGCGAGTGCTCTAACCACTGAGCTACAGGACTCCACCCATGACTGTTTGTGGTACACTGTGCACAAATGGCTGCTGCGTTTCATCCACAAAGTACACAGTATATCCTGTGAAGCACTTTGAGACATCTGAAAGACGTGATAAGGCGCTATATCAAATGCAAGAATTATTATTAAGATGTAACCACACAACCTGGCTACGTTAAGAACCTTTGAGCGTGCAGGCTTTCAGATGTTACATTTTAACTATGGGGGGTGGAGATATGCCTGCATATCTGCCCAGAGTGATATGATTCTACAACTTCTTGTGTAAAATGATAGGATTCGTTAAAATCAGCGGGAAAAGGTTAATCCTGAGTCAGATGCTGCAGCAACTGCCAAAAACAAAATACACAGAAAAACTGACTACCGTGGGTAAAAAAATTAAACTGAGGCATTCGCAGCTCTTAGCAAAAGATATCCCTGACCAAAATGTTTCCAGTGCACCCAATATTCATCAGTAAATGCAGCTTATGAAAATAGGAACCCAGTTGTTGGTCGATTGGCGGATCACTTTCTAGGGAGTAATAATCCCTCCAAAAAACAAATAATGATTTGGTCACTCAATCCACGAGTCTTTGCTATTCGCAATTGGCTGCAGTGTTCCACCCACAAAATACAGTCAAGACACTTTACAGTATATTCTGTAAACTGCTTTGAGACTCAACAACGTGATAAGGTGCTATATTAAATGCAAGGATAATTATTATGTCCCAAAATACAAGGCACACCCTGAGCAACCCAAACAATTAACCACAAGCAATAAAAACACTAAAAATGAGGTACTGTTCATTTTTATTGAATATTAAGGTAAATATTTCACATTAATACAGGCTACGTAAAGTAGAGCCACTATACGACATGAAATTTACTCTCGTTTTAACCCTTTTTAGTATGTAAACAATTATACATGTATTTACCACTCTAAAACATCTGGATTAATTCACATAATTATCTAGTCCTCGGCTGCATACAAGCAGTTTACAGTACTGTTTAGCCAGCAGCACAAGAATAGTTTGTCCCAAGTCTTAAGTCAAAATGGCTAAACTAACCAGAGAACTGAACCTGCTATGCAGGCGATCACTTTGTTCATAGACAGTGGTAAATCAATTAAGTTCATGCGTAACAGCCCACACAGAATTTCAGTTAGGCACATCAGAAAAGTTTTGTCCTGTCCACTTCTTTTTGGATCAATCTAGTTTCAATCTCAGAAAGATCCAGGTCAGGAATCGGTGGGCATGCCTGTGTCTTCCTCTAGTTGACATGGTTCAGATGTACGTTGCCAATATGCGGTGCCCAAGTTCCCGGCCACACCTGAAAAAGTGAATGAAAACTTACACGTTCAGCTACATTGCCACCAGTAGGGACTGGAGACATTTATGAGCACACCAATACTTCATTTAACTGATTCACATAAAACACAGGAACAGGACTAGGCCATTCAGCCCCTCGAGCCAGTTTCACCATTCTATTAGATCATGGCTGATCTGTACTTCAAATACAAATGACCACCTTTGCCCAATAAGCCTTGATATCCTTACTTAACAAAAATGCACTTTGGCACATGAATGTGTTTATAATTTTAAATCCACACCGTTTGTGATTTGGTACTCACCTGCTGAGAGTCAGTGTTCTCGGAGTTTGTGACGACCTTGATCATCGGGTTCCATGCAGGGTCTGCCGCATGAAGTCCGTTAAAAAGAGGGGCTCCCGGGCCATCAGCCAACTGGGGGTGAGGAGGAATCATGGCGTTTCCATACATGGAAAGCGGCAAACCCTGCTAACGAAAAAACATCCCAAGATTCCTTTATAAATATCATCTGAGGATTTTAAGGCCTTTTTTCTTTAAGCCCCACTCGAGCACCAATATCTCAACAATTTGACTCTTATGGGATGATTATCGTTCATTTGTACACAGAGGCTAAATGGACGAGGAAAACGGAACCTTTAAAATTTTTCCACCACTAATGCAAATCTAATCTATCCGTAGATGTTATAGAATTGAGCAGCTCTGGTGTTTTTTGTGAACATCTAAGTTATAAAGCTGAAATGCTACTGAAACAGGTGGCCCACAAACCAGTCAGCTGCTTAATGGGTTAAAAGGGCAATACACCTTTTTGCCACACGATGGCACAATATATATTAAACTGAACATGTGTCAACAGCAATTGTACTGCAGACATTTGCAAATATTCCAATGCCACAGTCACCGATTCATGGAAACAGACGCTGCCAAACTGTGTAGTGCTCTGCAAAGTGGCACCAAAGTTTCTCAATAAAAAGTTACAACAGGTTTACCTCGAGTTATTAACTGCAATAAACTTAGGATAATATAAATTATTATTATTATTGCAGTTACCTAAAACAACTTTTTAAAAATATTTTTTATAAATAATATAAATATAAATACTGTATATTAATAGATTTTTATTTTTTGGTTGTTTATCTTGAGTTTATTGCAGTTAATATTATTATAGTTACCTTAAACAGCTGGCGTTATTTTCTAAAAATACATTGCTCCCAACATTTGTCCTTTTATTTTTTTTTACTCACCTTGTTATAATCCATGAAGTTGCTTGGCACAGGTTGATGGAATGTGTTTGATGGAGCCACTATTCCAGTATCATCTCTTTCCATCGGTTGATGCTGTGAATAGGAAGCTGGATCCGACATAGATTGATGCATCAAATGACTTCCCATCACACCTTGGGACCAGCCGGATATACCATCTGAATGAAAACAAATCCTTCCATTAGCAAGAATACAACAAGTCTCTCCCCTAAAACAAAACTGTCTTAAAAACATCCACCTGTCCTGCTCAACAATCTTGAGTATAAAATTGGCTGTTTGTGATACATTGCTGCGTACAAATTGGCTGCCACGTTCGCTGTCAAAACACCTAGTCACTATACTGATCAGTAAATTCTGCTACGCGTTTCAAGATAGCCTCCTGATATAAAACAATTTTACATTAAGTAGTTATGCTATCCTTGCCCCCTTCAAGGCATGTCTTAAGACCCTCCTCTGCAATCGTGCCTTCGGCCACCCTCCTACCCCTATACACTCTGCCCTCCACACCTGCTGATGCCAACCCTTGCTCAGGTCTAAATAATACCTGTATTTGATATAGCGCTGTTTCACGTCTTCCAAGACATCTCAAAGAACTTCACAGAATATATTGTAAATTTAATTGACTGTTTATCTTGTGGTCGAAATCCCTAACTGTCCAGCGCCTCAGGATATCTGTCCGACATGAAACATGCTAGACAAATGTAATTTGTTGTTGCTGACCCACCTCACATTTCTCAATAAAAAGAAACAAACTTATTAAGTATTTACCTGAATTATTGCTCACTCCAAAAGACCATATGCCTCCTTGTCCCACAGGAGTTGTCAGGTTACTGCCCATCATGGTGGAGAGTGGAGCCATGGAGCCAGTCTGTCGGATACGGGCTGACCGCTCGGTTCCAATAGGTGGTGGTACCTTCCGATCCTGGTTTGCGCTGTTGGCTTTTGATTGGCCCAAAGAAGAAGGTGCGGAAGAGGCGGACAAGGGCGAAGAAGCTCCAGAAGAAACTGAAGGAACGGGGGACTCGCCTGCAGGGAAATTGCAATTCAAAAGGAAACCGAGTAAGCTCTATGGCACAACTGGTCAAGCAAAGCACAGAATTGGTCCGAACTGCACAATATTTTAACTACAGTGCTCCAGATTTGTTCTCTCTGAAAAGATGATTGGGGTGCGGGGTGAAACTAAATGGATCAAGGAATAAGATGGAACGATCGGGTATTTCTGTCTTTGTGGCTGGTCTGCACAGCTGTTCTTCAAAAATTCTAGCCAATCACAGAGCTTGGGGTGTAAAGTGGCACTTGGCACGCCATGTACACAACCCATCGGGGCTTGATATTGATTACCAATATGTTAAAAAGAAAAAACATCTATACGATGACCATATTTGGTACATGATGGTAATCAGGTACATTTCTTCAGATTGGGCTTTTACCTCTCCCCTCCCACACATTCTTACTAAAACTATACTGCTATATTAAGATACCGACACATCCTTCGCCTCCCACCTGCAGAGGTGATATGATAATTGCAGGCTTAATTAAAAAATCAGTCTCAAGAATCTTGGAAAGTACTCTCAGAGCTAGTTAAAGCCCTATCTGGTTGATAAAAATAAGATGTTTCGGGTTTCGACAATTGTTAAAACAGCTATTTATTTAGCATTCTCAGGGAATTATATTTATGAAGTTCCACCCATTCAAACCTTGAAACAAGCGTACTTTTTGGACGGGGGAAAAAGTCACACACACCTATTCTAACTCTGCCTAAGGGTAGATACAAAACAAAAATAATTTCCCCCTCTTAAGATTCTAAAGGAATCAAAGGTACGTTTAATGTCAACCGATAAAGCGTTTTACTTTGAGGTGAGAGATAGAGCATAATGTTCTGTCACATATACTAAACAGAAACGGGCCCCATTTCAGAGGAACCTAGAGGATGAGAGAAAAATCACTGGTAAAATTCCAAAACAGTTGTTTACACATTGCATCTTACGAATGCACAAACAGGGTGTACAGAGAGTCAGTGCGGGAGTGAACTGGTCCGAGCTATTTAAATGCATAATTTCTAAGTGGGTAAATAGACTGGCTATTAGCTCCAACTGCACCTATATTGCTAGTGTCCAAATAAAGGGAAAGTCGCAAAAATCTAGTCGTTATTTCAACATTATTAGGATCACTACAAGGTTTGGACAATTATTTTACAGATCTAACATGCTTATGAAAGAAGCTCAGAGTATTTTCATTGGACGCTGATAGGCTTTTCAGGAAGTGGTGAAAGGTTAAGTGATAATTGAGTAAAATTGGCTATTGCGTTGGTTCTTCACTGCTAATAACCACACTTCTGACCAGTGGAAACATGCCCAACACTCACTCTGACATACATTCATTTCACAGGACGTACAATTGCCTTCTATTAGGTGTCTTTGGCAGAGTATATGAATTCACCAAAAGAACCAGCCGAGTTCTCAGAGCTGAGAAAGTCATTGCAATAACCGTTTCAACTGCATTTTATAACATCAGGTATTGCAACAGTTTTCGCCATGTTTTGAGGCCTTTTTGGGGGGGCAGCTGGGTGTCTGACACATGAGGAAACCCATCATCATGCTTAAGAGTATCCATACTGAGAATTCCATACACTCCACCTACACATGGAAATTTCAGAGATAGATTGTTGGAATGGAATGCGCTCTCTCTCCCTGGAGGGACGCATCCTGCTTACCTAATTCCGGAAAGTATTAGGCGCAAGTTGGCAAGAGTCAAGGCTTGGGGGGAGCCCAAAGTGTGCGTTGAGGCCTGGACTTATTGAACGCTTTTGATGAACGCATGGAGCAAAATTATGTAGTGGATCCGAGATTAATAAGCACAGACCCACCCCAAAAAAAGGCAACCTCCAATAGGCTATTAAAACACAGAAAGGAATGGCTTGTACATACATGTAGCTGGAGCAGTTGTGGAACTCCAAGGGTGTGGGGAAAAATGTTGTCTGCTGAAGCTAGGAGCAGGCATTCCTACAGGAGCGGGTCCTTGTAGATACGCCTGACATCCAGCCATGCCTGGAGCATAACTCGTCATTGGGGTGGCAGAGGAAATGGCATTGGCTGATGGGTCCATAGCAGACATTCCTTCAAAAACATTTTTTAAAAAGTACATGTAACGGAATATCTGAGAAATGCACATCATAAAAAAGTGACTTATCTACAACTGCACATTTCTCTTTAATAAAGGGATGATATTTTAAACTGCAAGTGCAAGATTTTAATTCAAAAGATGTTCGGAAAGAGAATCGTGGAAATCCTTCGACGGGTCAGTGTTTAAGCACGGACATGCATTTTTTTAGTGAACTAAAAATGGCCAAATTGAAAGGTAATTTTTAAAGGTTAATATTAAATGGTCTGGGACTGTTGGGGCATCATTGTCACAGGGAAAATTCAGCACTTAACAACGCTCTGGTTATTTTATATTACTTGTTTGCCTTATAACGGAAATAATCAATGGAGTGGGTATGATTGATGTCTAACCTATAGGAAGCTGTAAGTTGGTGTCAATGGTGGAGTAAGCATTTTGTTATTTCCAGCTTTTCTAGCACTGAAACAAGCCACGAACCACAAGCCATGTACGTTATGAGGTGGCCTGTCTCTTCTTTTGATGCAGGAAGATGACCAATGAAACATTGGAGGAGCACACGTTAACAAAATAAACTGTGTTTGATGAGTGTAAAGGAATGAAGGTAATGTTACATTATTGAGGTGATGCTAAGTGTTCACAGAGAACACTACATCACGTCCAACAATGTAAAAAACAATGTGACAGGAGGATGGGAAATAAAGAAGGGATTGAAAACTTTACACCCCAGATAATTTCTGTAACTTAAAATCCTGTATTCTGCAACTAAAAACCACGCACACAGGCTACTGATGTCAAGCAATATATTGCTTGCCTCTTAGACTGAATATTGCAGGTTTAGAGTTTTGAAGTCCCAGGCACTGCAACTCAAGTCTGTCCGTCACAGTTGGAGTTTTACAGTCAGGCCACCTCACCTCAGGAAAAGGTGAAGCCTCACCTCAGGAAAAGGAAAAAAATATATATCTGACAATGTTCTAGCCCCAAACAGTGGTGAAGTGCTGAGAAGCCGCAGAGATGTGGTTTCTGAAACAAATTAGTGTCTAATGCCTTCCAAATCCATAAGCATAAATTGAAAATCAACTTCAACAAACTTGCATCTGCTGAACATCATTGTCCATCTTACCTGTGGGGCTCGAAGTCACCCTCTGGGAAGGTGGCCTGAAGCCAGGAGCCTTGGAATTATCATGAGGAAGTACACCATCTAATTGTCCAAGTACAGAATTGCCAATGTAGTTAGAGTGACCGGTGTACGTTGGATCTTGTGGTGGCCGCGATGGTAGAGGGCAACTTCCCCAAACGTGGTTTGCTGAGACCTGGGTGTTGTCGAAGAAACTGTTGAAAGGGCTAAAGAGAGCTGTGGATCCGAAATTTGGAGGCAAGGATTTGCTTCCTGGATTGGCGTGCATCTGAGAAACATTCAGCATGCCAAGTGCAGACGACAACTGCATAGGAGATGGTATGCCGTGTTGCTTCATAGGATCTTGGGCAGACGCCATGGGAACTGGGTTTGGGACAAATACAGACTGTGGCTCTTGCTGAACCAAGGGATAGAAAGGAGCACCAGGTTGTATTCTGTGAGATACCGGAGAGGCCGCAGCTAACTGAGGTAACGTGTTGTTGGTCTGAATGTTGGGGGCAGCTGACATGGTAACAGGACGAGTTGATGCTAAGCTACTTGGGGCCACTAATCCGTGATCCGGATTTGAAATATAAGGCTTCGGCAAAGGAGGACGAATATCAGAGCAACTGCGACCTGGAATCTGTGGCAGAATAGTGGGCAGTATTCCCATTGCTCCGGGATTGCTATTAGCCGAAGAGCTCGGGCAGACGTGGGCGCACTGGCTTCCTGTGAGCTGTTCCGTGGCTGCTGCCATCTCTTCCTTGCCTGCGGGTGTGGTGAACGCTTCACTCTTGGCCAACGGCATGGGCTGCTGAGAGGGTTGTGCAGATGGTGGCGGAGGGGGTGGTGGGGTGGAAGGCTGTTCGTTGCTCACTGGTAAAGTTGAGCTTGTGGTTAATGAGCTGCAGCTGCTGGTCACAGATGACGTCACGGAGATCATAGGATTTGTTTTGTTGACCGAGGTGAAGAGCTGTTTTCGAACGGACGAAGGAGTTGGGTTGCTCGTGACACAAATGGACTGTGTGGTGAAGGTGGAAGGGCTCACAGCCACAGAAGGTGAACTTAGAGTAGCTGAACTCACACTCTCGGGGTGAATGCTGCTGCTGGTCTGGTTGTTGAGACGAGCTGCGCTGTGTTTCGGTGAACTGTTGGTGCTCCCAGGACTGACCGGTCTGACTGGGAAAGGACCCCATGTGTTCGCTGATGGGGTAAAGGTCCCGCCGAAGTGCGCCATAGGTAACCGCGGGTGCCGGATCTGCTGGATGGTTTGAGCCGCCAGCAAAGCGTGTGCCAACTGAGGATGTGAATAAGCCAAAGGAAGCGAGACTGAAAATGTAGGACGCATGTTGTTTGCTACAATGTTTTTAGTAGGTTTGTTGATGGATTGTAATGATGCGGACGAGGCTGTGGACTGCGAGGCGGTTATCGATGAGGAGATCATTGAGACAGTTATCCTGTTCCCAGCGGTTGTTGTACTGGCTGTAGTTGTGGCAGTTGTGGATCCCATTCTGGTGTTGGCTGTGACACTTTTGATATGATTCCTGGGAATCAAATCCTCAAGTTCCTTGGTAGGATCTTGAATGAGTGCGTTGATCAGCTGCACTGCGTGTCTTGTGGATTCTGTACCTCCCCTGTGGAGAGGGCGATATAAGCGTTTCACAAGTGGAAAAAAAAAGATGTGTACCCTACAAGTTAAATATTGGGTTCTACTATTTAAACAATCAATTAGTCTGATAGATATAGAAATGTTAACACAGGAGGCCATTTGTAGATTACCTCTCTACCTAACAGGACCACAAGGCTTGCAGCAGCAACAACAAATTAACATTTGTATAGAGCCTTTCATGTCGGGAGGATGTCCCAAAGCGCTGGACAGTCAGAGATTTGGAGCCGAGTTGGGGGTTGGGATCAGTAGGGGTGAATGGAAAGGAGGGTAGGGATAAAGTGGCTGAACAAGCGGAGAACAGCTTGTAATAATGGCACTTGGAATTACCTGATTGTTATCATTCTTTCTCCATTCTTGTCTTTCTGTTTGTCAACATCAATGTGAGCACCAGTGACATCTTGGATCGCACTTATATTGCATCCCCCTCTTCCCATTATCCTTGAAACCACAGACGCTGGTACCGAAAGTTTCTTTGATCTGGTCAAAGCAATTCTACACATATAGGAAAAACAACATTTACAATAAGTATACTTCCATAACCAAGGATTCCAATCTCTTAAAATGCAGCAAATATTCTAGCCGTAACAACAGCCTTTAAAACTTTTGAGGTTTTAAAAGGCTCCTGTCAAATACTATTGCAATTATTATGCTACTTACCTGTGCTTACTACTTCAGATCCCACAATTACACAACATCAAATGAATAAAATGTCAGTCACTATGCGACAAGTAATTTCTTGATCACTCAGCTATTATTGAGGCAACGCCTCACCATAAATGAATCATAGCAAACATTGGCATCCAAATAATACACCAGGCTAGAGTTTAACCACTCCTCTTTTGCAGCTGTCAATTGGCATTCATGATAACCTTCATCTTGCTGAATGCTCTGTAGCAGCCAGAAGGTAACCATACTTTACAATCAACTTGGTTTGCAGTTGAAAAGACATTATAGCAACAAAAAAGCCTTTTCTCCTGGATGGCTGTATAGTCATAGGAAATGTTTAGACCATTAGTAAAACTATTTTTTAACAATCCCAAATCTCTCATTATAATATGGGGGGAGAGAAAGGAGGGGGGGGGGGGGAGGAGAAAGAGAAAAACGCACTAAAATTGTCTCTAGTGTTCAGCTCGCAGTTGCACAAACAAAAGCAAACCATAAAATGACCTCCATTTTGCCATGGTAACTGCTCATCTGTCTAGAGGACTTACTGGTATCAAGCCAAGTACCCATGATATAACTGGCAGGACAAGGTAGGACTCATATCTTACGATTTAAGCCATGCCAATGGGATTCTTTTGGATTCCAACAGGTCTTATTTCACAAACACTAATGACAACGTTTAGAATGTCAATTAATCCATAAATCTCCAAAAAAAATCCCATGCTACAATACAGCAGCCAGATTAGAAAGTTATTCAATTTACGTGAAATATTAATAACCATATTAAAAAGGTTGCATTTGATTTGATATTAACATTAACAATGCAAATGTATTAAAGTGCAAATTATAAAATGAACCCAACTTCATTAAAAGGAAAGACTTACCTTCTTACAACTTCTTTCCAGCCGTCTTCTCTCTTTTGACCTCGCTTTGGGCTGGTTAAATTCATCTTTCCAGTTGGGGAGGACAACGGCAGTGAAGTGGATTTGTGACTTGCAGACAGCGAAGTGGAGCTCGTTTCACTGGTGTTATCATGCAGCCTGAAGGACAAGTATCCATCACACACAGATTAAAAATACAAACTAACATGAGAAAAGCTCTAACTGCCACCTTCCCCCAAAAATATTTCAATAATAGATTTAAGCTAGCCACATTATGCCAGACAAACCTTGTATGATTCAGATTCTCTGATGTGGAGGTATTAGACTTGTCATTTCGTGAAGAGTACAATTTCTGGTCATTGTAGTTGTGGAAGTCAGCGATTAGGTTGAGCTCTTGGCTTTTACCACCACTGCTGCACTCACTGTTGCAGTCTGTACTGTCAACGTTATCCGAATCACTGTTCCCTCCAACTCCACCACCCCGAGGCTCTCCATTAATTTTATTTTTATCAGCCTTCTGTTGTGCTATAGACATGTGTTGATCCTCCAATATGATTTGCACACCCTGGGAACAATCTTTTGTTTTGTTTTTCTTGTTTTTCCTGTTAGTACTTGGGGTTGTCACCACATTGGCTCTCTTTTTCCCATAAGCACTGGTGAAGGTGGCGGAAGTTGCTGAGATGCCAATTGTGGTCGTTGTAGTTGCACTGGGAGGTTCTATAGGCACAACTTCCTCAACTATGGAAACAACAGAACATACGTCAGGGGTATTGCTTTAAGTATCCGAGCATGGCCGCAACTTTGACAATGTACGTGAAATTCAAATCAAATTCACATGCCTTCGTATCTGTCTTTTTCTGGAGTTTGTTGTTTCTCTGAACTCTCCTTCACTCTGGCTTCTTCCTCCTCTTGTTTCCGTTTCTGTTCCTCTTTCTTCTTCTTTCTCTTTTCCTTTCTCTTTTCTCTCTTTGCTGCAAGGGCAAGCTTTCTGCTTTCTTCTCTTGACTGCAAAGGTAAAACCATTTGGTGATAGGACGACCGCTTAATTGTCAACAACGCAGTCTCTTTAAAAAACACACACATTTTCACAAATTAACAAGACTGACCAAAACAAAAGGAGACAAAGCCAGCGAGCACTCTTCTAAAAAAAAACTCAGAAATCTAGCGCAGGGCAAAACACAAATGACAGATAAGACATTTCAACTTGTTGTGTTGGTGTTAACTTTGGAAGTTCTACGAGCAATATGCTTAATGTTAAAATAAGTGTCCATCATTAGGACTGAACTCCTACCTTCTCTAAGTCCAGCTCTTTGAGCAGGATGCTTGCGTTCTTATTTGCTTCAGCAGCCTGCTGGTCTTTTGCTTTGACTATGGTTTCCATGCACTGATGACATTTCTTGAGCAGTTCCTAGAATAAGAAATTCCAATGAAATGTGTGTTTTTTTGGGGGGGGAGAGAAGAGGCGCGGTGGATATAGGATTGGGAAAAAAGGGGGCACTTATTCCTAAATAAATAACGCAAACCAAACTGAATACTTTGTAAAAGAGGATGTGGGTTTTACATTAGAATATAAAATAAATATCGCCAGGAAGCTAAAGTCACCAAATTTAAGTCAACTGATTTTGAATTGAATTGCAATTGCCAATGTTCCATTAAAATGGATGTGCAAGGAAAATGTGGTTAATATGGCAAGGAAAATGTGGTCAATTTAACAATTTACAGAAATATATGAATCAGTACATTTTGGTCATTGGCAATGCTTAGTCTCTTCTCCCTCAGGACTCCAATTTTAAAAATAAGTGCAAACATTGGTGCAGATACAGGACCAAAACACAAGTGCGAAAACACGAAAGATGAAGACAGTATTCTTTTCGGTGTACACAAATCTCGTGCAATGCAGGAAGCGCTTACCTTATCAGTAATGGTCGCTATGTATCTCATACATTCAATGTCAGATGGAAATTGGTTAACCTCTTTCACCAAGTACTGCACCACTTTCACATGTCCCTGTGAAAATAAAACAATCTGTTAGTAATACCTGCTGTTGAGACACTTTAGTCCTCCAGACGTGAAAAGCGCTATACAAATGTAATCTTCTTGTTGTATAATAACTTTTTTATAAACCTCTCTAGCATTATTAAATCTAACTTTACTTGCACCATGAACATTGTTTAAGAGTCCCATCCAACTGTTATCGGACAGCTTTCTGTTGTTCGTAAAGCTGATCAAATTGAACAGCTTTGTACTTAGAAAAACATTCTTCTCATCTTGAAACTTTCATTCAATTTCATCTGGGCTTAGAATGCAATGCACAGGTATTAATAAAGCTTTTAAAAAGTTGAAAGGAAAATACTGTTCAGACATTGATGGTATGGACAGAGATTTGAGTGGATTAAAAACAGTGATTTGATGCTTAATTTACAGATCTTTAATGAAGGCGATTCTGATTACCTTACGGAAAGCTGCCATCAGGGGTGTGATTTTCCTGTTATCTGCTGCGTCCACATCAGCCCCAGCCTGAACTAACAGCTGGACCACATCAAAATGCCCACCGTTTGCTGCCAGCCACAAGGGTGTGTTCCCTTTCTTGTTGCGAACATCAATGTGAGCCCCTCTGCAACATTGTAAACCCAGAAAATTAGGTCGGACGCAGAATTATTATCCAAAATAGTCTTCAGTTAACACCACAATAAAACTTTGTATTAGTCAATGCAAAAACAAATTAATCATTCAAGTTTAACAATGGTACCTGTTTATCAGCAGTTCACAAAATTTGTAGTGACCCTTGTCTGCTGCTATGGTTAAAGCTGTATCCCTTGATGAAGGCACTGGTGGTGCATTGACATCAGCACCTTTGTCAAGCAGCACCCTCCCTACCTCTGCATAACCTCCAGAGGCAGCTTCCATTAGGGGTGTCAGACCAGTCTAAACAGAAACATGTGTAGTTAGCAGGCACCATGTGTTAGATATTACAAGTGATACAACTGCAAGTAATAAATAACTTAGAATAACTTTAAGCACTAATTCACCATCAGTACTGAATACAAGTCATGTTCTGCTCAACTTGATCACCGCTTAAAATCATCAGCAACAGATTGACCATTTCAACGTTGCTACATTAGAATGGCAAATAGGAGGGGCCAGAGCATTACACAGTGTACAAATATCACAGGATCCATGCAGGTTTTCCTTGATCATCAGAATTGTGCATCTCTTTTTGTACTGTTGAAAATACCTCACAAAAGGCTTATGAACACGTACGTACCTTTTAAAGGTTGGTCAACACACACACCAATCCACAGTGAAATAATTTGGCCAGAAATGGTACTAACTTATAATAAGTTATACTTTTTCCAGGAACACATTCAACACTGGATGCTGATTGAATTTTAATAAAACTTAATTTCAAACATTCTTAAGTATAAAAACATAGATTAAAAACGAGATTAAAAAGTTACCTTTGCTCTGTGCTCAACATTTGCCTTCCTATCCAACAGTAGGCTGACAACTTCCGCACGACCTTGGAAACAGGCCAGAGTAAGGGCGGTGTTTCGATTGGTCTCAATCTGGGCATTGATGTCAGAGCCCATATCAAGGAGCAGTTTGACTGATGCCACATGGCCATTCATTGCAGCCAACATCAGAGGAGAAATCCCCAGTTTGCTGCCAGTCCTGCAACAGGATAAACACGTTAGGAATCTCGTGTTTACAATGTTTCAGTGAAACTATTTAGTTCAGTGATCCCATGTGCAGCCACTGCCTCAAAACTAAAATCACAGGAATGCCTGAAAGAGAATTCTGGTTCCATAATTCTGTAAAAAAAACACAATCAGGCAATGAGGGAAATAAACTCCAGCCGGGAAGGATGGGAAAGAAAAAAAGCAGCAGTTGGTAAACTTAATTAAATCAAAACTTAAAATGGATGCAAATTACTTCATGTCACATAATCAGTACCACCATATAACCTTGGTTCAAAATGTTCAATTGCTTCCGTCTTTCACTCCACAAATTCTTTTATGTGCACACAGAGAAGCCATCAAGGAAATACTTGCAGTAGTACTAAGCTGCCTGAAGAGTAGAGGTCAGAGGAACATGAGTAACTGTGACTAAAGTGAATTGAAATTCTCTCACTTTCTTCTTGCTTTGCCTTCACGGATGACCTTGGGCGTGAAGGGAAGGCAGGCATGCAGGAATCTCCCAATCATAGTGGACAGCCTATGCTTATGCTACAAGCCATTTCCAGGCAGCCCATTTTGGGAACATACTGAAGCAGAGTGCATTTCTGGGGCAGGAGCGTGTTGCATCCGAGCAGGTCTGCCACAATATCTCAACCAGTAAGCACACCTTCTGCTTCCTATACCCATGTCCTTTCTCTACAGTCACTTCAGAAGATGTGTGGTCTGACCCCCTTGCTACTGCTTTGTGCACTTAATCACCACTTTGGCTCTTCTCTACGTATTCCCTACTCCCTATCTCAAACTTGATTCATTGAGGCATGAATGAATTCTTGGTCTGCAAACTACACACACACACACCAGTTGTACCTTCAACCAAGAGCAATCTATGTTACAAACGCTTAGGTTCCAGCGCTTTGGGACGTCCTCCCGACATGAAAAGGCGCTCTATAAACTTAATTTTGTTGTTGTTGTAGTAGTAAGGTGAATGTCAGCTATACACACCAAAATTGACCCATCTATCAACAAGCATGGGGGGGGAGGAAGAGAGTTGGGAGAGAAGAGGGGAAATGAACTGCACTGCATTACCTGGAATTAATTTCTGCTCCAGCATTCAAAAGAATCTTGATGATGTTAACATAGCCACCAGAGGCAGCGAGGCTGAGAGGCGTGTAGTCAGAAACGTTGCGATGCTCTTTGTTTGCCCCACGAGCCAGCAGCAACTCCACAACCTGAGTCAAGATATATCCATTAGAGCAATTTAGAGAGGGATGCAAAATGGACTTACAATTCTTTAAGACAGGAAAGATTTACTTAGTGTGGTTTGTAAACAAGTCTAAAATTACAGCACCTTACAGTATGTTATTCAGACTTTTTTAAAAGAAACTATAATTTGAAGTACTGTACTGTAAATTGTTGCATCTTAGCATTTGGGAAGCAGTTGGCATCATTTGGAAATAACGAGTCAAAATGTTGACTTAAAATGTACTTCCCTGTAATAGCCTACAGTTAGCATGATAATATAAAACTGTCTGGGGCAATAATAATATTCCTTGGATTTTGATATTGCGCCTTATCACGTCGTAGAGACTTCTCAAAGCGCTTCACAGAATATACACTCAAGTGCAACAAAAACAGAAGTCGCTGGGATCACTCAGCAGGTCAGGCAGCATTTATGAAGAAAGAAAAGAGTCAACGTTCCGGGTCCACGACCTTTTATCAGAACCTGAAGGGTTGTTGATCCGAAACGCTGACTCACTTTCCTTTCTCCATAGATGCTGCCTGACCTTCTGAGTGTTTCCAGCAACTTGTTTTTGTTTCAGATTTCCAGCATCTGCAGTATTTTGTGTTTTGTTTATACTCTCAAGTGAATTGACTGTATTTTGTGCGGAAACGCGGCAGCCAATTACACACAGCAGCGTCCCACAGACAGCCGTGGATTGAGTCACTGAATGATTATTTTTTAAAATGTTTCATCTTTTTAGAAGTTGTTAAACAACCGGTTATTTGATAACCAGGAAAATGTTTAATTCCACAAAATATGATCAATCAAAATCATGCTTCATTCATTGTATTTAACTTGTTTTGCGGCAGAGATTCCCTCACCTCTTGCCTTCCGCCAGAGCAAGCTAATGATAAGGGCGTATCCTTGGTACGTTCTGATTGCGCTTCAATGTCTGCACCTTTGTCCAGCAGGATTTCCACTACCCCAACGTGACCAGCAGTGGCAGCCAAAATAAGCGGAGTGAAACCTAACCAGAAACACAAAACAGTTAGGCAAGGAAAGTCATATATTGAATTTGTCAGTCGGTGAGTACTGGAGCTGGTCCTTAAACCATCACAATGGGTTAGGGTAATTCCCACATTACTGAACTTTTGATCGCAGCCACAATAGAGCACACATAACGCTGCTTTTCAACATTATCCATTACCTAGACTAATTACAGTGAGCTGTGCATTTATTGCTGCAGTATTGGAAGATTTGCTATAGATTTGGCCCACAAAAATATGCAAACTACAGCTTCAAAAACCTTGTTTAGAAATTAAAATAGATAAGCGAGTGTTATGTGGACAACTGAAAGAAAGTGTACCTTTTTTATCCCGGTGTTCAATGTTAGCGCCACGTGCTATTAACACCGATACAAGTTCTTCATGCCCTCCAGCACAAGCCAACGTTAGCGCAGTGTCGTGATTACTCTCAGTCTAAACAAAAAGGAGAGCTGAACAATAAACACTACATCCTAACTGCATATGGTACAATTTTATATTCTTACGTACAACCTGTTAGGAATATTTATGAAAGTTTGTACCTTTAAACCAAGGTTCTTTTTCTAGCACTGTGAAGTTAGTTGCATTTGTACGACTGTCTTTCCCACTATGATTTGACATTTTTCCATTCACATCTCTCTAGTCTAGCGGAAGAGCCATACATGCTGGTGCACCACATCAACAGAAAGGCCATTTCCTGATTCTGTCAAAGTAGCTTCAAAAGATGACTTAACAGAGATAAAAAAAAGACTGTAGCTGCTGTGAGCTATTGATGAGAAAACTTCTTAAGAATATGAACAGTCTCACCACCCTCAATCTCCCTATCCTCTTAAAATGGCAGAGTTTTTTTAGAAATAAAAAATTACTTATTCTGACTTCCCATTTGCTCAGCTTTCCAATCTTGGTAGCGCACTGAAGTACAAGTCTTCGTTTAGGTTATCAATAAAAAGAATTCTAGAGTTAAGGTCCCCCGAACCACCCGCATAAACATAAAACATACACACAGATGATATACTCACAAAGTGACCCACCTGCGCGTCAATTTCGACTGAAGGATAGAGAGGCAGCATTGACGAGGGAGAAACAACTGGACTTGGAGTTTGGGTACGAGTCTGAGGTGTAGGGGGAGTTGTAGTGTGGGAGGAAGCGTTCGGTCCTGCGGGCATTCTACTACTCACTGCTGTAAGACAAAAGTCAATTGTAAATTGATCAAAACTAAGACACTTCAAAGAACAAACACTGGAGTGTGATAAAATGCACATGACTTCACCTTGGGAAGTGAAGCACCTATTCTGTAATGCATGGTCACTTCTGTGCAGACGTAGTTGGATTTAAAAGCGAAAAGTAAGATCCAATATGATATTCTATTTCCTTTCTAAATAAAGGGAAATTTAAACAAATTTAGTTAAATGGTTAAACCAAACATCGACACGTAAAGCTCAACCAGGAACCATGTCACATTTGAGAAAACTGAAGCCTTTCCACACTGAAAGGTTGACAGTTTTGAAATCGGGGTAGACACCACATTTTGAGAAGTTTTTAACCTTACCTTCCAGAAAAATGAACAGCTAGCACACATTTAACTTTTCTAAAACTAGAACCTTCACTCAAAATTATGAGTCACAAAAGACACAAAATCTAAACAAGACAGGCACAGTGCAAAAGAAAAAACATTTAAAAAGCAGTTTAAAAGCACACAACTCTCCTACCAGCTTTAGGAACTGTTTCTCAAAAGACTTTCTCTTTTTTGTTAAATTGGAAGTTATCTGAACTAAAACTCTACTTTTAAAGAAAACCGCAAGCAACTATCTTACTCAAAAATGGGAGAAATGTGAAGGTTGCGTACAGTTACTGCAGCAAAAACAATATGCTATTAATGAAGGGAATTAATAGCATATTGGAAGGAAAATGAGTCCCTTCATAAGATACAAGTTGAAATGATGGTTTCTTCCCCTATTTCAGCGAGGAAAACTCGATTAATTTCTGCTTGCACCGCACTAACTATCTACCAATTACCCATCGCTGGAATTCCATCTATTCTGAACAGCATTTTCAACCATTCATATAAACAACATGCGTGATTCACTGCACTGGAATCACCTGGATTGATTGAACCATTTACTTTTAGGCAAGGTGCCCACGCAATTTGACCCCCCTGCAGCACGCGGATGGTGACAATCTAAGAGGACGGCATAATTGTTGAGTATTCACACAAAGTTGATTTTATCACGTCATCTTCAGGCTGTTTCAATATTGAGCCTCAAACATGGCGTCTTGGCAGTCAGCCTCTGCTCCTTGCAGCTCTACCCCCACCCCCCTCCCCATCACCAATAAATAACTTTTGAGGGATTGCCAACAATTCACGCTCTGGATCAAAACCCAAAGCTTCGATCCAGTTGCAAACTAAACTCTGAAATTGAAAAATTTGGGGGAACGAACACCGTTTCTTGGAGGGAAATTCAAAGATTATAATAGTGTAGATACTTCTTCAAAACTAATTAATTTCCTAAGCAAATATCACAACATAAGTGTAGGAGGTTATAGTTAACCTCCTACTCACTGATACGACTGAGCAGTTTGGTGGAAAGCACATGTTCAGTTTTCCTCCAGCCACCTGGCATTTAATGGTCTCAGTAACTTTCTAAAGAAACATCCTGGCCAACGTACAGTGTTCAGCAGTATTGTGCCTTTTCAGTGCACTATAGTAATAATATACTTGCATTAGATATAGCGGGTCCCCAGTCATTGATTCTTCAACTAAAGGAATTGGCAACTTAATTCATCTTGACATCTAAAAGGCCTTTGAGAAAGGACACACAGGAGACTCCTTTAAAACCTGCAGTCAGTTTCATTAGATACACGGGTAAGATGTGAATTAGTAACAAACATGCTAAGGGAAAGAGAGCAGACTGTATTGTTTAGGAGCTAGATTGAAATGGAAGGAGATGTTGAGTAGGTACCTGCTAGGAAGCCTCCTGGTCCGAGTATACAAAACACAATGCCAAATTAGTTGAGGTCAGGTCCCCAAAAGGCACGTTCAAGCTGTCTAGCTGTGCAGTGTCGAGTTGGAAAGGGGGATGGAAAGAAAATAGAGAGAGGGGCAACAGTCACACAAGATATTGCGCTGATGTCCATATCTATATACTTCTTGGCCATGATGCCTGGATAAACAGGTGAGGGAGCCCCCAAAAATGTCTCCCTCCCAATTGAGGCCAATATGTTGCTTTCAACTGCACCCGATCACAATCAAATAACTCCGTAGTCTAGAAATTAATCATGTACACAAAGTAATCATATTGACATAGGATCAGTTCTAGGCACAGGGAAAATACCACTACCTACTCAATGTAATAAGAGCTACATGAATAGTAAATTGCCACGTATGGTCACATCTGAGGTAACAGAACCTGATATTTTGAACTTTGAGAGTCTCTCACTCCAAAACATTTTTTCCCCCAGTGATCTATTCTTAAATGGTTTTTAGTCTAATAAAGCAACTTTCTTTCCTACCAAAATCTTGTTCTCCACTGAAAGCCAATGTAAGGCATATTCAACTATGCACGACTGGCTCGGTGGAAGATTATTGCTCAAGACTTTGATTATAAAATATGCAGCAATTGTGTAAGAGATTGCATTCAGTTCAGGTTAAGTGAATTTAGAAAATCCCAATCTTCACTAAAATGTTGACTATTAACCAATTCCATTACATAGATTAATTTCAAATATCAGCTCCCAACTAAATCTAGCTCGGGATTAACAGATTTGTTTTGGGGTAAAAAAAATGAACGTTTGATTTTTTTTCCCCAATAGGAATAATTCAACAATTGTACTATAATTACCGGTTAGCCCATCATTTTACTTGTGATGCATTCCCAGAGGCTCAACCAATCTTTCTCAACCAACCTTTCTCAACTAACCTCATGAGTCAGGGACACAAAATATCAAGCGATGACAAGAGAAGCAAACACCTTCAAAAGAGCAGCCTTACTCTATAGGAAAGGAGTCGAATATTATATTAATCTTCACATCCGTCTCAAGCTTGTTAGCCAGACAAGGCATAGTAGCCTTCTTCTACACTGTCAAATTCTAGGATTGTACTTTCTCAGATTGACTCACAGTTCAGGTTAATGTGCTCACGTGGTATGTTTCAGAAGCAAAGAAAAAAAATTGCAACAAGATTTAGATTCTGTAAACTATATCTACCCAAGCCAACATTCAAATATGACAAAGATGTCTCAGGAGGATGATCTCAGGAGGATGACCGTGCATTACCACCAGGTGCCACTATTGCACGTTTCAATTACATGAATAGCAGAGTTTGAAAACACAAACAACAAACATCTAGTGGCAGTGTACTAACACTGCACAAAAGATAATGCCGAACAACCCATATCGATTATGGCTCACTATATCACCCAAATTCATAAGCTTTCATTTGGAATTTCAGATCCAATTGTTTGCATGACCCCAGCAGATTAATTTAATTATGAAAACCCGATAATAGTATCAAACGTTTTTTTGAAAAAAGTTTGAGATTAGCTTCCTATAATTTTGGTTTCAACTATCCTGAAGTTAAGTTTAAGCGTGGCTTCAGCTTTCACAAAGCAACATGGAACTGTAATACTAGCAAATTATAAGGCATTTGCTTTTTGCCTGTTTATTTTCGCAGACTTCAAACACTATTGCTCACAGCAATATGGTTCATATAGATGAAGGCAAGTGGGTCAGTTGGTTGGCCTCTCCCAACCAAATAAATGGAACTGTAAAATACTAATTACTCCCATTTACCATGCAAAATATATTATATAGCTACAAGTTACATTCAGTTCTTTCCAATAATTTCCTCCATGGAGAAAATAAAAGTATTCTATTTTGTTTAAATTCTCTCAAACACACGTCATCAACCAGAAGCTCGTTTTTGGTCATTTCAAATGATTAAACATTTCCTCCTGCTATGAGCAGTGTGTGATCAGTCAGGCCATTTCACCTCAGGATACATTTTACAAGAAGGAAGCATTTATTCAATCAGAAACAAAGCATTTTTTTACCAGAGCCAATTAAAGCAGGTTTATCAGCAGCGACTGGATAAACTCATGATCTGGTTGCAAATTCAAATTAGTTTGGGTTTCTAAATAGTTTCAGATTTCTGGTAATACAACTTAGAAGGCCAATGAAAACAAGACCTAGAACACAACTTGTGTTAAATCGCAGAATATCGATCGGTCCCAACTAAAAAAAAAATCAAGATGTTTCTCATGCAACACTTCTGAATAGTAGAACAGATGTGTTTTGCAAGAAATAAAAAAAGTGAACGAATTCAACATTAACTGCATTGGGTTTTACTTGCCCATTTCCAAATTCGGTTATGACAACTGCTATACAATACTGAAGGGCAATTGTTTTTCAGTTAGCGATCGAAACTGCGACGACCAAAATGCCGTTCAGAATAATTTGAAAAGAGTGGCTTATATAGCTTAAAGAGCCATGCTATTACAGTTTGGTTACAGACAGCATAAGCGTGCTGTACATATCGATAGATTTGCGTCTCAATGAATCTATCCGAAATTTCACTTGTACCTAAAAGCTAGTAGGTGCGAGAAAAGTGTAAAGTACAAACATGACCGATTCTTAACCCACCTGCCATGATGTCATCAAGAGTGTCAGTTAGCGTCTGTGCTGGAGTGGCAACCATTAATCCATCAGGTGCTTGAGCTAAGAGCCCCTGTCCAAGTCCAGCAAGTTGTGCCTGTCCTAACAAAGGCTGGTTCACAATTACTCGCTGTAGATCGGGTACATTAGTGATGGGATAAACGGAACTAGTAAAGTTTGGCGCCACTTGTGTTGCTAAAGGCTGGATAGGAACAAACCCTGTTTGGGCTGCTGGTGGCTGCTGCTGGCCATCTCTATGTAAGATGGTGTCCACCTGAGGCAACTTCGAAAAGTCTTCCTCTGGTAGACATTCACCAGTCCCCACCTGAGAGAATAGTCCTCTGTGTGGGCATTGCTGTTGCTGTTGGAGCTGAAGTGTCTGCTGTTGGCCCTTGGCCTCCAAGTATTCTTTGGTAAACTGCTGCTGAGTTTTCAGCTGCAATTCCCTTTCAACTTTCTGCAGCTCTTTCAGAATCTTTTTCTTCTTCTGGACTTGCTCTTCTCTGCTCTTTTTTAGTTCTTCTATCTTGTCTTTGGTTAAAGTGTCTCCCTGAATCAACTCTAGTGACTTCAACTGTGCCTTCTCAATAGCGTTAATTCTTTGTCCCAGTTCTGTCAGCTTGCCTTCCGTCTCTTCCACAATGCATTCTAAAGGCTGGTACTGGTGGAAGGGTTGGACATCCTGTTCCGCTACCTGCAGGGGACTGGACTTCTGCTTGGATGTACCTAAGCACACGAAAAATGTTTGAAAAAATGCCATGCAGAAATTACTTACCCATGTGAAACCAGTGTAAACTTTTCACCACTTTGTGGCTTTTGATTCAGTCTAGCACTGAATGTAAACTATTCTACATTTGCTTCGTTTAGTCTAATGAAGTACTTGCATTCGGGTTTTGTATGGGAAATGAAACTACAGATAATTGTCATTTTTCCTCATAGGGGAAAAGAAAGAAAATAGACTATATATACACTATATTAATAGTCTTCACCATGCTATTTCTAAAAAAAAAGTAAGGTTTGAATTATATCAAAAGGATAAAACAGCAAGATAACTAAAATATGAATTCCATTAAAACATTTTTGCACAAAGAATTGCAATAGGATAGTTTCATGGGATGATGCATTTCTTCTTGAGAAATAGGTGCTTCATAAGCAGATAACTCTGTTCTACTCATTACAAATCATTCTGAATTGTACAGAAAGTTGGCGTTCAGAAATGCTGAAGGGTGGCACCTCAGGATAACTAAACGCCTACTGACTAAAGCAATATTAAGACTATACAGGAAGGGGAAGCCTTTGAATTGGATGTAGACTATTTACATTTTGATTGCCTATACCATGTATGAGTGCTTGGACTTAAGTGTTGGCCAAGGGTCCACTAAAAACCAAAAGGCTACCAAAGTGAATAAAAGATTCTGCACACCTTATCAAACCTGTTTTATAAGATTCACCATTGAAATCAGCAGACATATTAAGTAAGTTAATATCGAGTTACTTTTTTGAAATGTATTCTCACAAAAAAAATCCCCGAAAGTGTATGACGAAGATACTGAGCCGTCATTGCTGACTCCATAAGAAAATAAACATTAATCTAGAGTGCTAGTGTACACATCAAGTATCCAGGCGCCAGCTGGTTATTTATATGCTCAGGTTATATATTGCAACATTAGAAATAATTATAGTAATAAAGATACTCAAACACTAGGAATAGCTTTATCACTAATATTTTTTTCCCTAAAATACTGAATGCAAAAGCTATTTAAAGAAACTATGAAAATTTCACTATTTGCCGAGCTGTTCTGTCCCTTTCTCATGCTTTTATCAAGATTGTTTTATTAACTTGATTTTGTAATAAACTTTTCCCACCTAGTCTAAATAGTTTCAACCTTTAAACCCCATGACTTTCCTTCCACATTCCACTTTCTATTTTGAAAGGCTAGAGAAAGACCTTTTTTTAAAAAAAAAGTCATTTTCATGGCTTAAAACCAGCCTACCAGGCCACTTTGAAGGACAAGCTGAAATGTCAATGATTGGCCAGTTTGCATCATAGAAGTGACTGGCAAGCTAACGTGAAAACAAATCCAGGGCCACAGCAATCAGGGAAGGACTTAAATCTACGGTTATCATAAAATAGATTCGGTTATGAACAAACACGTACAAAATCAATTCTACTAGATTCCTGTAAAACAGTTGATCGAGAACTAAGCAAGGTAACTCCATCCATTTCCTGATCTTAAGTCAAACAAAAGCTTCAATTTTGTTTAAAAAAAATCTGCTGACATTGGGTCTACTATAGCTAACTGCTGTCTGATCTGACAAATGATCAGTTAGTCTTAAAGTAGGTAGATTTTGAAGTTAAATCTACAAAAATTGGAATAGTAACCTATTGAATGGGCATCATCTTCATGGATAAGTGTGTGGAATAAGATTCCATTTGAGGAAGAACAGTGTTGATGTAAGAAATGCTGGTCAGTTTTTCATGGAAGTTGTATCTTTAAGACTAATACAGGATAGATCAGTGAATCCTTTTCCATGGTTCCTTTCATTTTGTAACATGGATTATTTTCACAATAAAAATTTGGACAAGAGTTGTTTAAAATAACCATAAATATCTTCATTACTTTATCTAAATACGGGCAGCAAGACATCAAATGGTCTAATAACGCCCTGGCTAAAAATTAATGCAATAGTTTAATCCACCCAATACTGCATTAATTCAACCATCAATTAGTTGAGTTTACACAAAAGTTGGAAGCGCAATAACAATGGGCAGGTAATATCTTGGAATACGGCCAACAAAGAAAATTACAAGCCTAATCTTTCAGCCTTCTCCAAGATGGAATTTAATGCCAGTAATAGTGCTCTCAAATGTACATAGTAAATGTAATTAGATTTATAGAATTATACAACACCCAATTGGTATAACATTCTTCAAAGTTTATACGGAACGACACTTGCATAAATTATAAATAGCTAAAATCCATATAATTGCAAATTAGGAAGAGGATTCGCTTACTCATAGACAACTAAATTCAGAGAATCTCATCACAATATGTTCTGTGTTGACTTGATCACTGTGCCTGGCTTACTAAAGTTATTAAATGGAATGCAATAATAAATATGCATCTTAGCTGCATGCTCTAAAATATATCTACAGTTTTTTTGTTACTAACAGGAGCCAGATAATAATAATCCTTGCATTTGATAAAAGCTCCTTTTCACGTCTTCGAGACGTCTCAAAGCGCTTCACAGAATATGCTGCAAAGTGAATTGACTATTTTGTGGGAGAAACACCAATTTCGCACAGCAGTATCCCACAAACAGTCTTGGATTGAGTGACCATTTTTTTTCTTCAGATGTCACTATAATGGATTTATCCCACAAAAATGACAAGACTGGAAATATTAAGAGGATAATTTGTTGGAGGCTGCATGAGGATCACACTCCTGTCCTTTCAAATAAAACATTTTAAAAGTACACCTGTAAAAGGAAAGTGCTTGGGAACCAAGTTTCAAAACAGCAATTGATGAGTTTTCTGTACCAAACGTACACATGCTCTTTTTCTGGCAGCCTTGAGAAGTAACAACCGTGTTACTGGTCCACAATCCAAACCGACACAAGCTTTTAGAAGCCCCAACCAATGCAAACTGCACGTCGATTCTTTATAATAAACTGGATGCATCATTCTTTCAGCACCCTAACAGTGGAATGTGTTCCAGGATCGTTATGCCTTCACTCATGACAATGTACGTTTTAAAAGCGTCTGTGTCCCTCATCCAGGCAAGAGTCATCAAATTGCATCTTCAAAAAGCAACCCGAAGGGACATGTAGGTCAGCAGACACTTAAAAACATACCGTACATATTTTGCAAAATGATATAATTAGGCTAGATTGAGCAATTCACTACAATGATCTTTAGCTTTTAATTTCATTAATAAGTAGGATCCAAGAACTCTGATCAACAAACCTTGGCTAGTTGATTTTTTTGAGCTTTGGATAGCACCTTAATGCAATAATTTAGAATACTGTTGGAGTAGTTCATAAGCATTCATCCATTGTGTTAGGATTTCAGAACAACCTCACAAATTCTTTCAGAGGATCCTGTGCTGGTCCCATAATTCCCTGTTGAACATTTGAACGGAAGAATAAACATCTGGTGTGTACAGCAAGTATTTTGATGGGCACAGATTACTTCAAACATTCACGTTTGGTCAGCAGAAATCAATTTTATTATAGTCCTGTAAAACATTCCAGTTCAAAATGTTCACTCTTCACTCTATAGATTTGTGAACCAACATATGAAAATCATAGGAATTGTGGTGCATTGTTAGGTTGTCTATTGTAAGATACTGCTCAAAAATGATTTGCTCATTTAGACAGATTGCTAAGTGGGCATCCCAAGAATTGTGAAGAGAAGCGCAATTAGCACTAATAATACTTGTGAAGTGTAATAATAGCAAGCCAGAAAAGGCAGCAACAATGATCAAGGCTTCCTCTAACACTCTCGATCTCTCATTTTTTCTCTCCAAACTGTCTAATACAATCCTGGGTCTGGCCTTTTAGACAGAAAAGTTTCAGGGAATACAATTATTCCAATGCAAGCGAGTCAGCTCAGCAAGACTTCTAAAGCTGAAATTGATTCAGCCTGAGAAAAGTCTATAAATACTGTTGTACTAGGTCAGAATCCACACTTGGATGGAAAATATATTCTGGATTTAGAAAATGCATGCTAAATTATGCAAAAATAACTACAGACAATGCAAAGCAGGTTTGCTTGACATCAAACTATATACTTGCACCTGGACAAATATCTGCACTTGTCAGAACGGAGTCTGCGCTATGACATATTCAACTGGTTGCTTACTTCACCTTAGGTCCTGGAGATGAGCACTGAAACTCAGGCCCTAAGGTATGGACATTGGAAGGGAAACTATATTGTTAAATCCACAGGAAATCACATTTGCTTCCTTCCTCAATTAGTAAAACAAAAACACTCACCTTTATTAATGACAGAAAGCGTGGTTCCAACATTTACGGGAGACTGGTCGGGTTCCTGGGGTGGGACAACCATAGCGAGTGCCTGTACTGGGACCCTGGGAACCTGAAACATTTCAACCAGTTCAGTTAAACGACAAACTTGATATGTGCATCAGCTGGTGGTTAACATCTGGTTTGTATAATAAGTCTCACCCAGATGATTGAGCTCAAGATCCTCGTCCTCAGCTTTAAAGCCCTCCACTCTCTTGCTACTTCCTACCTCTTTGACCTGCTAAAAAAAACAAATTCACCAACCCACCAGCTCCCTCCGTTCAGCAGACACTGGTCTGCTCCACGTCCCCCACCCTGCTCGCTCCACCAACAGCGGTTGAGCCTTCAGTTTTTCTGCCTCCATCCTCTGGACTTCCATATCGGAGCCCCTCAGCCTCGTCCCCTTCAAGGTTCGTCTCTTAGACTCTTCTCTTCAACCATCGGTCATAACCCCACCCCTCTCGATTCCAACCCCAGCTCGGATGCAAACCTTTCAGTGCCTTACAAGGTCTTCCTAATGTGAAAGGCACTGCAATTCAGATTGTTCAAAGCAGAATTTTAATCGGAATTTTACCATCTAAATTGATTTAGCTTTCCAAAGCCACTTCTAATCATCAGATATTCAAAGTACTCTGCTTCAAACATCCAACCCTAGTGACTGATGCTCAAACAGTTTTAATCTAGCTACCTGCTATACCAATTTAAATGTTTGCACCATCGGAAAGAAAATACTCATTGAGCTAATTATCTACAGTACTACTGTTATATGAATACAAGTTGGTTTACATGAAGTGGTCAGCCCAGGCAAACCTTGTTATAGAATTGTTAAAAAGTCTCATGAGGTAAGGATAACTTTTAGACAATTACCGCAGTTTTCCAATTCTTACTTTCGTAAATATTACTTTACACACAGAAATTAAAGTCAGTAGTTCAATAACTTTAATCACAAAATCGACAATTGAGGTAGCAAAGTATAAGGTGCAAGAAAAAACAGAAGCAGAGCCCGCCCTATAGAATTTTTAAAAAATGTAGTAAATAGTTTTCATCTTTTACCTGAAAGCAATATTTTTCTTTATTACTAATTCCCACCCCACAGGATCAGAGAACTTCAGGTCACCCTTTTGCATGTTATTCTATGAAACCAATCCAACTGTTATGATGTTACTACATCCAGGAGGGACTCCAAAGACTCAACCAGAAGTCAGTCAGTGCTTTGGCTTGTTCGCTAATTCAGAAGTATGCCAAAAAAGCCAAGAAAAGTTATTTATTTTCCCCCAAGTCAGGATCCATTTGTCTATATAACCTTTAAGGAGTAATGTGACCAGACCAGTATATCTTTAACGTCTATCATTAATTCTAGCTAAATTTGAATCCAGACCAGAAAAGTACTGCAAAAGTTAGGAAGAATAAATATGCAACAATTTGCAAATACACCAAAGCAAAAGTTTTGTCCTGTCCTAACCACAATTTTTTCAGGGAACTCCAACCTACAAACTTTATACCATTATAATCTAGTGAAATATTTTGAAGTCCATTTCTCCAAAATATAGTAATATCTCCAAATTATAGAAACCTGGTCAAAAGCCAGTACACCAGCCTTTATCAAAGTGTGGGATATTTTCAGAGCTTTGCCAGATACTGGACTTCCTGGAGACAAAAATCGAGGGGATCCGCTCAGCACCTCAGCCCTTCCAATTGCTACCCCCTCGCCATCTCCCCCTCCGGCTCTTACCCATCCTTCCCTCCACACCGGTATTCCTCTCCTCTCACCCCACCATTATAACCCACATGAAACCCACAATCCTGCTCCATGGACCCCATCCCTATCCCTCTCCTTACCTCCCAGCTCCATCTCCTTGCCCCTCTACTCACAGATCTCATCAACCTCTCCCTGTCCACTGGCACCGTGCCCATCCCCTTAAAGACAGCTGTCATCACCCCAGCGCTCAGAAAACCTTCCCTAGACCAATTCTTGTTCTCAAATTAACACCCCTTCGCCAACCTCCTTTTCCTAGGTCTTTGAATGAGTTCACTCCCTCCTCTCCCGCCATTCCCCATATGAACCCCTCCAATTAGGTTTCCGTGCTGCCACAGCACAGAAACAGTCCTGGTCAAAATGACAAATGACATTCTGTCCATCTGTTACCAGGGTTCTCTTTGTCTCCTCGTCCTCTTTGACATCTCTGCTTCCTTTGATACCGTGGACCACTCTGTCCTCCTCCACTGCCTCTCCTCTCACCTCAACCTTCATGGTTCTGTCCAAGAGTGGTTCAGATCCTACCTCTCACACCGTCTCCACTTTGTCTCCACAAACGGCTTCTCCTCCAGCTTCCACAAAGTCTTGTTCCTCAGAGCTCTGGCCTTGGTGCCTCCTCTTCAAGTTGTACACACTCCTTCTTGGTGACATCATCCGCAGACATGGAGTCAACTGCCACATATATGCGGATGACACCCAACTATCTCTCTCCACCCTCAGCTCCAGGACTACTTCTGTCCTGACAGAATGTCTGTCAGACACAAAGTCCTGGATGATAACTTTCTGCAGCTGAACGTCAACAAGACCATGGCCGACCTGATTGGCTCCCATCAGCATCTCCACACCTCAGGCACTGATAGCATCACCATCTACAGATGCACACTCCACCTCAGAGCCAGTCCATAATCTGGCATCTTATTTGGCCCTCAACTGTCCTTTCTCCCGCATATCTATGCCATGACCCGCTCTGCTTTCTCCCCACCTCTGCAACATCGCACAGCTCCGCCACTACCTCACCTCTCAGACTGCCAAAATCCTCATTAACGGGTTCATCATATCTAGGTTCGACTATGTCAAGTCCCTGTTTGTCAGCCTTCCAAACTCTTCCATCCACAACCTGCAGATCATCTCCCGCACCAGGCTCTGTGACACTATCACTCCCACCCTCCCTCGGCTCCACTGGCTCTCTATCTCCCAGAGGAAAGAGTTCAGAAATCCTTGTCATAGAATTATACAACACAGAAGGAGGCCATTCAGCCCATCATGTCTGTGCCGGCTCTTTGAAAAGAGCTATCCAATTCAATCCCACTCCCCCGCTCTCTCCCCACAGCCCTGCAAACTTGCCCTTCCCAAATAATTATCTACTTCTCTCTTAAAAGCTGTTATCGAATCAGCTTCGACTACCCTTTAGGCAACACATTCCAAATCCAAACGACTCGCTGTGTGAAAACATTTCTCCTCATCTCTGTTTCTTTTAACAACTATTTTAAATCGGTGTCCTCGGATTACAGATCCACCCGCCAGTGGAAATAGTTTTTCCTTCTTCACCCTATCAAATCCCCTCATAATTCTGAAAACGTCTATACGTCTCCTCTTGACCTTCTCTGCTCCAAAGAGAATAATCCTAGCTTCTCTAGCCTCTCCTGATAACTGAAGTCCTTCATTCCTGGTACCATCCTGGTAAACCTCCTTTGCATCCTCTTCAATTCCTTGACTTCCTTCCTAAAGTGTGGTGCCCAGAACTGAACACTAACCAGTGTTTTATAAAGGTTCATCATAACTTCCTTACTTTTGTATTTTATATCTCTATTTGTAAACAACAACATTACATTTATAGAGCGCCTTTCACTTTGGGAGGACATCCTATAGCGCTGAATAATCAGAGGTCAGGGCCCGAGCATGGGGGAGGGGTTGTGTAAGGGTGAGGGAAGGCAGAGAGGTGGGAGGGCAACCAAAGGCACGATCGAAGAGAAAGGTCTTGAGATCGGTCTTGAAGGAGGCAAGGGAGGAAGCGAGGCAAAGGGACCGTGGGATGGAGTTCCAGAGTGTGGGGGCAGAGAGGCTGAAAGCCCGGCCACCGATGGTAGGGCAGGTCAGGCGGGAGACATGGAGCAGACCGGAACCCGCTGAACGGAGGGAGCGGGCAGGTTGGTAGGGAGTCCGCAGGTCAGAGAGGTAGGAGGGGGCAAGGCCATGGATGGTCTTGAAAGTGAGGACGAGGATCTTGAACTCGATACTCTGGGGCATGGGAAGCCAGTGGAGTCGGGCGAGGGTGGGAGCGATAGGGTTACGGAGCCTGGTGGGCGAGAGTACACGAGCTGCAAAGTTTTGGATGATCTGCAGCTTGTGAAGGGAAGAGTTGGGAAGGCCAACGAGGAGGGAGATTCCATAATTGAGCCTTGATGTGACGAATGCGTAGGTGAGGGTTTCGGCAGCCTGAGGGGTGAGGTAGTGGCGGAGTCTGGCAACGTTGCGGAGGTGGTGGTAGGCAGTGCCGGTCATGGTGCGAGTGTGGGGGAGAAAGGACAGTTCAGGGTCAAACAAGACACCCAGGTTCCTGACTGTCTGAGTGAGGTTGATTGTGCAGTCGTGGAGGCTGATGCTGCCAGCGCCCGAGGTGCAGAGGCACTGGCGTAAGCCAATCAGGAGGGCCTCGGTCTTGTTGACGTTGAGTTGGAGAAAGTTGTCCTTCGTCCAGGATTTGATGTCGGACAGGCAGTCGATCAGGACTCCAGTAGTCCTGGAGTTGAAGGTGGAGGCAGGGAGATAGAGTTGGGTGTCATCTGCATACATGTGGAAATTTACCCCATGTCTGCGGATGATGTCACCAAGTTGGAGCATGTAGAAGATGAAGAGGGGGCCGAGGACAGAGCCCTGAGGAACACTGCACGAGACAGTGCGGGGGCTGGGGGAGAAGCCATTTGCTGCGACAAAATGGAAGCAGTGTGAAAGGTAGGACCTAAACCAGTCAAGGATAGAATCTTGAAGGTTGAGGTGGGAGGAGAGGCGGTGGAGGAGGATTGAATGGTCTACGGTGTCAGAAGGCAAAGGAGAGGTCAAGGAGGACAAGGAGGCAGAGGAAGCCCTGGTCACACATGGTCAGGATGTCATTTGTGATCTTGACCAGAGCAGTTTCCGTGCTGTGGGCAGCCCAGAAACCCGATTGGAGGGGTTCATGGAGGGAGTGGGAGGAGAGGAAAGAGCGAAGCTGGGAGGCAATGGCTCTCTCAAGGACCTTGGATAGGAAAGGGAGGTCTGAGATGGGCCAGTAGCTGGATAGCTGTGATGGGTCAAGGGAAGGTTTCTTCAAGGTGGGG